AGGTTATTAATAATAATAATAATAATAAAATAGAATTAATGATTGTTTAATTCTGAGTGAGCTCTTGAGCACTTTTCGTAGATATTGAAAATATTGCTTTAATTCATCATCTTCTGTTAATTCATTCATCCCTTCTCAAACCTTTTCCCGCCCTTGTGTGAACACAAATATAATCTTTCATCAAATCCTTCATGTTTTCTTGAAAATATTCTTCCTTTATTACTATTTATAACATTTTACAATTTTCGATCTGCACAAAACCAAACCAAATACAGGAACCTGATACAGGGTTATTCCTTATATTTATAATTAATATAAATAATTATAATAATAAATAAACCATTAAAAGACAACATTCGAGGAAGAAGATTTGTTTTTAACTTAAAATCGTTGTATTTGCAGAGTTTTTAGTCGTCTTTACAGTCTAATCCATTGTGGGTATAACCCTGTAATAAAATAAAGTAAACTAAATCTATAGATATATAATAATAAACAAATTGTGTAACGATATATATTACTGTATTACAAAACTACGGCTTGAATACTGAGTGAAATTATGAACTTTGAATTTTAAACAAAGTTTTAAAATATTTAAATTGATTGACTATACATCAAAAGTCGGACATATTCAATTTTAGCTATTGAAGGATTGGAGCATTTTTCATGTGGTATAATTCAAGATCCCGGTATTCTATAGTATATATCAGTACATTATTCAGGGTAGAGAGGGGTAATGTATTTTTCATGTGGTATAATTCAAGTATCCCGGTATTCTATAGTATATATCAGTACATTATTCAGGGTAGAGAGGGGTAATGTATTTTTCATGTGGTATAATTCAAGTATCCCGGTATTCTATAGTATATATCAGTACATTATTCAGGGTAGAGAAACTTAGTTCCAAATACATTTTTTTAAAACTTAACTTATATTTAGTCAGAAAATTCTAAAAAAGATATTTCGTATTCGTTTGAAAGAGCCTAAAGCAGTTTGATAAAATGGACGTGGGTGGCTTGTACGTGTTTTTTAGATTTATTTATGTAGATTGTTGTACAGTGGATTGAAAGAAAACTGATATTGCATAAGTCGATGTAAAGAATAGGAACTATATAGTATGTTTAGGCCACCATATTGATGTTTACAATAACCCTTAGAACGAGCGCAAAACTCTTCTTAAACAAACCCTGCATCATGCATGCAAAGATTAACCCATTAGGGACAATGTTATTTTTGACCTATAAAAATAATTTGATATTTGATAAACTAAATCTATTAAATTTCGGTGTCAGCCATTCATTCATAGGTAAAGAAAAAATCACAGAAACATAAAGTCACAAAATGTATCTACTATTTGTTTTCGACTTTTTTTCTGTTCATTTTCGAAAAAATCTGTTAACTGATTTTCTTATGTTTAAAGACGCTATCCTGAAAATTTCTTGCATTTTTATCAACAGACAGGTTTGTCGGTTCTATGTATGGGTTAAACCATACTACATACCTTACCCTTGGATGGAGTGAACAAATTTGAAATGTCCAATTCCATGCTATTAAGATATATTCCTGAATAATTAAGGATGGAATTGTAATCATCGACCAGCCTTGGTACATTCTCATATTCTTTTGCTCTTTCTGTTAAAAGTCAACCATTACAATACAACATGGTTAAAGAAAAATAAGAGAATTGGTTTTAGACCTTGTGTCAAATATTCTAAATAAAATTTTATTCCTGCGGAGTTTCTTGTTGAAAGAAGATCAGGAATACATACATACAATATACTACGTATTTATTAGTGCAGGGAGAGAACAGTTGGAGGAGGAAGATTTAGGATAGAGGTAAAGGTTTAGGATAAGGGTGGAGATAGGTATAGGTTTAGGATAAGGGTGGAGATAGGTAAAGGTTTAGGATAAGGGTGGAGAGAGGTAAAGGTTTAGGAGAAGTGTAAAGGGAGGTAAAGGTTTAGGATAAGGGAAGGTTTAGGTTACGAAACCAGACAGTAGCAAGACGACTTGAACGTCGTCTTTGATATTATTTGCTTCATTTATTTGTCAACATAATTTTAGAAGTATACACAGGGACACCCTGTATGTAGAGAAGGTTTAGTTGATTAGATATGTGCATAGAGTAGGCGTGTAGATATGTAGAGAATGTATAGTTGATATGTGGAAATGCAGAGAAGCTTAGAGGGTTTAGTAGATGTATAAGATATGAATATGTGTTATACAATATGGATGTATAGGATATTTATATCTGTGATTAAATATGGATGTATAGAATATGGATGTATAGAATATGGATGTGTAGAATATGGATGTATAGAATATGGATGTATAGAATATGGATATATAGAATATGGATGTATAGAATATGGATGTATAGAATATGGATGTGTAGAATGGGGTGATAAAGTGCAAAATGTAAGGAAATTATACTAAAACTGAATAGCTCTGTAAAATAAAGGAGGACTATATACAACTCATAAAACTTTAGTCCAGTCGATCAGAACGAATAAAACTTTAGTCCAGTCGATCAGAACGAATAAAACTTTAGTCCAGTCGATCAGAACGAATAAAATTCAAAACGGTTTGTCCTCTTCAATCCTCGACACTGAAAATATTTGGATGCTAAATGCGAGTTAGACACTCTTACGGGAAAATATATCATGATTTTGCTTATTACTCCTTTTCCACTGACGTCAGAAACTAGGCCACTACGGGTTTAAAATATAAATGTTTAGTGCTACAAAAAGTTTAAGTGGGTTAGTAAGTTAAAACTAAAGGATAATTAGGGTTGCGACAATTAAAGCTCGACCTAGTTTTAAAATGTATATAGAGCATGAGTTTCAACAACGTTATATCAAGGAATATAATTGGAACTCCTATAGAAGTAATGTGCGCTATCGATCGGAAAAAGGGGAAAAAGATTTTTTTTTAAAATGGGAATTCATCACTTTTTCTGAAAACCGAAAACGGGCCAAAAATATTCGGAAACGGGTAAAAAGAAAAACAAGAAAAGATCAACAAACTACGAATTTAAAATTTCTTCCTGAACCGGAAACCAATAAAAAATATGCGGAAACCGATCAAAATAAATAGGAAACGAATCAGCTGTGAATATATTATACATACAGGGTGTCCCACGAAACATGACATTTAATAAATCGTTATTTTTAGTTAAAAAAATGTTTTGCTTCATTATCTTTTTCTTTGAAATCAATTTTAATTTAAAATTACTCCCATATAAAATTTTTATTGATCTTTGGTATCAAACAACTTGACAAATTATGGTAAAAGACATTCTAAACTATTTACCAACTGTCATGTTTCGTGGGACACTCGGTACATATATAAGAAAAACTTCCGATAATTCTTGGAAACAAATTCCTCAAAAGTCACTTTTTGAGCCCTTAAACATCGAGCGCCAGGAGCACCAGGAGGACCAGGAGCGCCAGGAGCACCAGGATGACCAGGAGCGCTATAGAGGGTGAACCAAAAAAAGTTCACCCCCCAGGCAAAACCTTACAGTACGCCCATGTATGTAATTTGCAGCTATTTCTGAAACTGCATCAATAGAATTATGTGTAAGGTGTTAAGAAAAACATATGTTTCAAAAGCGCGTTATCACTATAATTTTATGACTATCTTAGAGAAAAAAGAGAAGTTTTTACTTTTGTCTCTATTCCTTTAGAGATAAGACGACCTATAGCCACATTTTAAAATCAACTAATCAACTTTACCAGAAAGCATTTAAAGAATCTACTGTGGCAACAATCGATGTTTTGCGCTCAACTCTGTAAACCGCATGAGAAAAAACAAAATATTAAGATGCAAAAAAGTCAATATTTGCTATACTTTGGGCCGTATGACAAAATTAACTTAAAACTTGATGATGTTTGTATGAAAACGGCAGGATCAGTAACTAGTTGACAATAGTAGTGCAGCATAATTAGTAATCAATAATTATAGTATCCGAAGTACATTGGTACTCATTGGGGAAAATATGAAGAATTTAGAGAATATAGTTGCATAGAAACTACTACTGGAATCAGAGCAAATTATTATGCAGATTTTACGAAAATATCCAGAATTTTTAACTCGATACGTGACTTTAAGGATTTAAATCGTCGTCTGGGCTTTCAAGCAATAATTTGGACCTAATTAACTCATTAATTGTGAAGTGTTTCTAGTTTTCAGGGGAGGAGCACAAAAGACTAAAGCAAGATGTTCCATCATTGATACCTCATGCTGAATGATAAAATGTGATACCAATAAATATTTATTAGGCTTAAAATTTCCATCGGTCCAAAGTAATTTGATTTGAGATGATTTATAAATTTGTGCCTAGGATTCCGACTATTTGCAAACACTGGCTAATATGTGATTTTTGTACCTTCCCTCTCCCTCCTATCAATTTTAAACATTTATTTCTCTCTTCCGTTTAAACTGTATTGAAAAATATTTAAAACTTTACTGTGAAAATTGCTTTTTATTTCTTTCGAGTTTATTTCGGCTAAGATAAATTCTGTGTCGAGAGTTGTAACTATATGATGGGTAAGGGGACCGAGCGCTGCTACTCTAGGACAGGTTAGGGGGCCCAGCGCTTCGACTACAGGACATGTTAGAGGGCCGAGACCTGGGACTACAGGACATACTAAGGAGCCAAGTGCTGCGACTAGGACGGGCTAGGGTCGGGAGCCGGCAGCTACCACTGAAAATCTAATGAGTCTAAAGCGATATGTCGGAGTCAGTACAGAGTAAAATATAGGATTTTTTAACTGAAAATGAATGAGTTTTCCTTTCAGAAAAATGAGCGGAATAGTAAATATCCCAATCCTAGAAATTTCCCAGGAAGAATTTCGTAAAGTAATGACAGAAAGGAGGGAGCCATTAGTTCTCCGGGGTTCAGATCTTGGTTCCTGCACTAGAACCTGGTCTCCGGAGAAACTGTCTGAGAGGCTGAACCCTCGTCAGGTCAGGGTTCATGTGGGTCAGGAACAAGATCTAGATTTTAGAACAAAAAATTTCAAATACTGTGATATTGACATTAAAGAACTTGTAAAGCGAGCTCAAAACAAAACCAACGAGGAGTTTTTTATTGATAAAAGTGAAATTTATTATCTCAGGCAAGGTTTGATTCAATTCGATTTAATTACGAATCATTTTTTGTCGTTAGTTTCTGAGAAAACAGCATATAATGAATGAACCCTTGATCTAGAAGTATCAGCGGAGACTCAAGAAATTTACAAGTTTCAAACCTAGATCAAGATTTTCCGGAAATAAGTTCAGATTTTAAAATTCCGGATTTATTCCCTCCCGATCAGATGTTTTCTTCCGTCCTGCGGATTTCTTCCGGTGGTGTACGGATCTGGACTCACTATGATGTTACTGATAATGTTTACTGTCAGATTACTGGCCGGAAATCTGCCGTACTCTGGCCACCGTCTCAAGCCAATAATATGTATTTACAAGGTAAATATTAAAAGAAAAGGGGGGGGTACTTGTAGAGGCTCAAATATGTTTTTAAAGTGGCAAAATACCAATACTTAAATCTTCAATCATTTTGTAAAACATCATAAATGACAATGCATTGCAATTTATAAAATTATTTTGAAGCTTCCTGGTATATAAAATTTTTAGTTGTTGTCAGAGAATTAATATGGTAATGGTGATTAGAGGTCTGAACTTTTTATTTTGGTAAGCCCGGGATTAAGCAGTTATCCTTTCTTTTGTTAAGCAGTTATCTAATCTTTTGTTAAGCAATTATCCTATCTTTTGTTAAGCAGTTATCCTTTCTTTTGTTAAGCAGTTATCGTATCTTTTGTTAAGCAGTTATCCTTTCTTTTGTTAAGCAGTTATCTAATCTTTTGTTAAGCAGTTATCCTATCTTTTGTTAAGCAGTTATCCTTTCTTTTTTTTAAGCAGTTATCTAATCTTTCTTTTTTTTAAGCAGTTATCTAATCTTTTGTTAAGCAGTTATCCTATCTTTTGTTAAGCAGTTATCCTATCTTTTGTTAAGAAGTTATCTTATCTTTTGTTAAGCAGTTATCTTATCTTTTGTTAAGCAGTTATCTTATCTTTTGTTTAGCAGTTATCTTATCTTTTGTTAAGCAGTTATCCTATCTTTTGTTAAGCAGGTTATTCTTTCATATGTTAAGCTGTTACCCTTTCCTTTATGAAGCAGTTATCTTTTATCAAGTAGTTATCCTATCTTTTGTTTAACAGTTATCCTATCTTTTGTATAACAGTTATCCTATCTTTTGTTTAACAGTTATCCTATCTTTTGTTTAACAGTTATCTTACATTTTGTTAAGGAGTTATCCTATCTTTTGTATAACAGTTATCCTATCTTTTGTATAACAGTTATCCTATCTTTTATCAAGCAATCAATATTTTATAAAAAATTTCAAATTAAACATTTTTCAGGAGATAAATCAATGGTAGCGGATATAGATTCTCCAGGTTCGGAGTTTCCTCTGTTTCCTGTCTCCAATAGGTGGGAGGCTGAACTTGAACCTGGAGACATCCTCTTCATCCCGTCCCTCTGGTTCCACAACATGAAGGCTCACGATTTCGGAGTAGCTGTAAACGTTTTCTGGAAGGAATTGGAGTCAAAATTCTACGATCCTAAGGAATACGATATTCTTGTTCAATGTTTTATTTTACGAGTTTATCAGATGTTCACAAAAAGAGAAATAATTTGTCATTTTTGATTATTTACTTATTTTACCAAGACATGTTGTATTAAAGGATTACTACGGAAACAAGGAGTTGGTTCCCGGAGCGAAGAGTTTAACAATGTTGGACAATATTATTAAACAATTAACCCTTCTTCCTCCACAATACGCAGATTTCTACGCCAGACGCTGCGTAGAGAAACTAGAAAAAAAATGTTATTTAAAAGATTGATTTCAGATTAACGATGGCCGGGTCCCTGGTCTGTTACACAGTAGAGTCGGGGTCGGATTCAGATGATGAGATGGATATTAAACCTGAACTAGAAACTGTTCAACATACTCCAACTGAAGTCGTGAACACTATTCTTGTTGAACTCCTGGATTCTGTTTTTACAGGAACCAGAGACTTCTCCGATATGTACATTAAGGAGGAACCCATCGACCCGGATGATATCAAGGAGGAGTTTGATCAGGACTACAGAGACGGAATCAAGGTTGAGATTGACTCCGATGACTGTGAGTCTGACTCCGATGATTCCTCTGACTGCAGTTCAGTAATAGCAGAGGTTCCCGATATAAAACAAGAAGGAAATAGATTAACTCAAATAGATTTTGATTTTTACTTGACATTAAAAAAATTCTTTTTTTCTTCTATTTTTTCAACAGAATATTTGAGTTAAACTTTGATTAGTCGTAAAAGAAGGCCCGCCGAGAACAAAGAATGAGCTAAGACTGTGTGATCTACCTCCTGTAGAGGATCTAGAGGTTCAGGTTCCAGAATCCGAAGTGAAGAAGATGGGACGGATATCCAGCTGGGTGGAGGAACTGGTTGTCATTGAATCCTGTTCTGGAATCCCTGCTATCGATGTAGATTCTGTCCTTTTCCTTGACAACGGACAAAGAGCTCTTGGAAGAGTTTTCGATGTTTTTGGTCCGGTTTCTCAACCTTACTACTCCGTCAGGTTCAACTCTGATAAACATATCCAGGAGAAGGGTCTGGAGCGGGGTATGGATGTATTCTATGCTCCGAAGTCTGAATACACTTCCTTTATATTCCTGGAGCAGTTGATGCGTCTAAAGATTAGTGACGCGTCCTGGAAGGATGATGAGGAACCACCTCCACAGTTCCTAGACTACTCGGACGACGAGGAGGAGAGGAAAGCAAAGCAGACCAGGGCCATAGAGAAAATGGTGGAGAGTGGAGCTACAGAGGAAGAGGTTCAGAGGAAAAAAGCTAAATTCTCTGGCGCAGCAGCTAGAAGTAGAGGCAGGGGCAGAGGTGCCCCAAACCAACCTAGATACCAGGAGAATGCACAGGATGGAAACTTGAGTTATAACAGTCAGAGACACGATAACGGACTTTACGATCGAACCATGAATCCCTTTTATAGACAAGGTAGAAATTTTAACCCCCAAGATATGGGTCCGATTAGATGGAACAGCTATAGACCTGGAGGAAACCAGGAACCCGGATATGGAAACCAGGAACCCGGTTATGGAAACCAGGAACCCGGATATAGACAGGACGGATATTCAAGCAATGCAGGGTATTATTCCCGATCTCGTCCTTCAGGCTCAGATCACAGTCAATCCCAGTATTACGAATCCGATCCAGGATACTCACATCGCGGACCCAACTACAACCAGTCTCAACAAATTTATAATCAATCTCATTACCAGGGTTGGTCTAACCCTCCGCCTCCTCCACCATACTAATATTCATTTTTTATTGCAGAAAAATGGCGACTATCCCAGTCCGGATAGAACCCCCTGGGGAGAATACTGTTATAGAGGTTACATATGACGGCCAAGAGATCACACAGCCTCCGCTCTCCATGTCGGAGAATCTATCTAAGCAGGCGAGGAAGATAGATTTCTCCCAGGAGGCGGAGATGGAGGTTGAGGAGGAGGAGGAGGAGGAGCAGGAGGACGAGGAAATGAAATCATTTAATCAACCTGGTAAACATTTATCCAATACACTTATTTAATCAATCTGGTAAACATTTATCCAATACACTTATTTAATCAACCTGGTAAACATTTGCAGTATATTCTTCTGAAGGAAATGTAGGTAAACCTAATTTCACGTGACCATTCATTTTTAAATTTGCATTTCCGTAAGTGACTTGCAGATCTCTGCTACAGATAATTTTTTTATTGAAAAACAACATCTTCCAAATTATTGATCAGCTAAACAAGTGTAGTGCTTAAGTGCATGCCCCTTGTTAAATGTAGGGTCACTTAAAATTACAAGACAGTCGCTTTCAGAACTAGAATGACAATTGAAAAGCGCCATTTTTTTCCTAAATCTGAGTTTTCAGAAAAGTGTTATTGAAGAGGTACTAAAACTTGCATAATTTATTTTTTTATACAACCAATATAAAAAATATGATTAGTGCACATATTTGCTTGTTTTGGCGTACTTTTTTAGTAAAATAATTAGCAACATGTCTGATATTAGGGACAGAAATAGTCAAAGTAATGTTGAGCGCCATTTATGAGATTCTCCAAAAATCGACATGACCTTTGTCTACAATATTTGTCTTCAAAATTGTCAATAAAAAGAAGTTTTGAGTTTTGAAGAGTTGGGACAAATTATCAATTATCTAACATTAAAAAAATTCATCTTCCAAATTTTCACGCTTTTGTTATTAAATACCTTTGTCAATAAACAATATTTTTCTCAATTTTTAAATCAAAATAATTTTGAATGAAAGTGAAATCTTAATACTGATTTTTTTGTTTAAAAAATTATTCAGAAAATTGTACATGATGAAATAACGTATGCAAAATGTCTGTCCCTTAAACGTAGTTTTGACCATATTTAAAAAAAACTAGGTTTTTATCTACTTAAATTGTTTACATTTTCTCTTTGTATTCACTGTAAAACAAAAACAAACAAAAAATTTCGCGTATTTAAAAAAATCGTTGATTTTCAAAGTTTTCAAAAATCGAATTTTGTTAGACAAGCAAAGTATATATACATATACTAGTTTATCTTCCACTTCAATTGTGAACATTTTCTCTTCGTATACATTGTAAAACAAAAACAAACAAAAATGTCGCAGATTTTATAAGAAAAAATTCGTGGATTTTCAAAATTTTCAAAAATCGAGTTTTGGTAATGGCAAATTTTTGAAAATTTGATCATCCATAAACCTTCCCTGGAGTTAGTAAGGCCCCACAAAAAAATATGGCCCGATCGGTTCTGTCGTTTTGACGTTTATTGGATAAAAACGGACAGACAGACAAGCAAAGTATATATATAGATTTTACAATAAAATTCTACATGGGCTCAATACATACAAGAATGTGTGATGTAGTAATTTATTTATTTACCCGAATTGAAGTTAACTAAATATTTCAAAATTCAAGCTTATTTTTTTATACGGATGCATGAGGATTAAAAAGCGCCATTTTTTTCTTATTAGTAAAGTGGTAAAGAAGAGTTACTATGGAAGAGAATGATATCAATATGTTTATTAAGTTTGGCCCTGGGAATCTGTTAGAAACCAGCTGCGTGATGCTTTAACAGAATTTTGTGTAGCCTCAGATGTTTTAACAATAGCAACTAAGGTAATACATTTATTGTCTTTATCAAAAATATTCTGCATTTTTTCACTAAACTTTAATATTTAAAAAATTGAAAACCACGGCTGCGACAAGCAATGAATTTGCCGGGATTACAGTCTTAATTTCGGATATCAAAGAAAAGAGTTCTGCGTCAAAATTTGCAGATAAAGGGTGTGCTTTTGTGAAAAATTTAAGTGGCCTTTAAATTTATGTCGATAATCCCTTTAAACGTTCCAAATTGTTCCAGGAGTGTGGGAAGGATCAAGGTGGTAATCCTAAACGTTATATGGTCCTGGATGGTCCAGTGCAGGGAGAGCAGACGGAGCAGAAACCCTTCGTTCAGCTCCTCGCGATGAAGAAGTCCTTGGAGGTTCCAAGTAAGATCCTCATCCAGGGCGCGGAGCATCTGAAAAACCTTCAAAATGAGACGAAAGGGGTTCGAGCTCCGGAGGATTTTCATATTGAACTCCTCCGGCTCCGTCAGAACTGGAGACTAAAGAAGGTTGGTAACTCTATCCTAGGTGATCTTAGTTACAGAACTGCAGGAAGTCAGTTTAAACAGTCCGGAGTATTCGAAGTTACAAAAGCAGACGATAATTTAGACTCTCAACCCCAGCCGGTACACGGGAAATTCCCGTCAGCTCTGAAAGTGACAGTGCCAAGTGAACTAGAAGGTATAGCGTATATACAAGTGATGATTCAGAGAGACAATGAACAATTGGTTTCCGCAACCCTAGGACAGTTCTCCGGAGTAGCACACAACTCTACAGATATGCACTGGAAAAATAAACTTGAAGCTGCGCAGAATGTTTTGTTCTGTAAAGAGCTGTTCAGTCAACTTGCTAGAGAAGCTGTCCAGCTTCAAGCTCCGATACCTCACATGGTTGTTGGTTCCCAGATCATTGCTAGCGTGTTCCCGGATATTCAGCTTACTATCTCTCTCTGCCACTCAACAGCAGGGGAAGGGAAGAAGAACAGTGGAACAACTCCACCTTCTAGGAACGATCATAGTGATGTTCTAGAACATTCACTGTTCCAGCTTCTCCGTAAAGTTCAAGCTTCCAATATTAATCCCGACGGACCAAGTCTAAGTTCGGCGCCTATTGGTATACCTCGGAAACGGCGGGCAGCGGGACCAGAATCGGCGGACCGACATTCTCTCTTGGAAATGACGAGCACTGAAACTTTGTTAGAGCAGATCGTCCGACAGGCTCAGCATGTCGTCCTAAGACTGCGAACCATATTCGTCCTGGACACGTTGGCTCGGGAGTTTAAGGATCCTCTGATCACATCTCACTGGTCTACTCTCAGTTCTCCAACCTGTAGCAGTGTCAAGGTAGAATTAGTTATAATCACAATTTAAATATCAGTTTACTTCAAAACATTTTAGAAAGCAACTTGGGTTCAAACAAATTTGTCTTTCAACTTTTTAACGTGTTGACTTTTATGTTTAAAGCGTAAAAAACTTATTTTGATAATGCATTGTATAAATCTTAATATAAAGTGATTCAAGATAACTTAGTTTTCCATATTCAACCTAAACCTTTCTCTTGCTTCTTCAATAATGTAGAAATCCATCCTTCTTTTTCGTAAAAATAATTAAATGAGATTTTATTTAATCATGTAGGGCATTTTATAAATACAAGGTGACGTTAACTTGCGTTATACAATTTCTTTAACCATCCTTGTTTTTCTAGCTTAAACTTGATTATTTTTCATTTTAATCTTAAAAATTTGATATTTATCAAGATCGAAAAACTTGGACAGCTTCCTCATTGTTGCGAAGAAGAAGGTTTAGAGGGTACCGTTTTAAATCGGACATGCCACTCTATATGTGGTTCGGGTCACTTTAGATTACGCTGTTTTCCTCATATTTCCACAAGAAATGTATATTTATTGGTGTGTGTTTAGGTGAGTATAGTGAGTGCTGGATATGATACAATAAATAAAACCCAGCTTGTGATTCATGTAGGGGAGAAGATGCAACGTGTTATCTGCAAGGACGGACGGGTTCTCAACTTCAGTTACGAACCTCAAGAACTCAGAGACTTTATTCTCTGTCAGCTTGCTCAACATCAGATATCCGGGGTTCAGAACCTGGCCAAGGTGATGGGTTGGCAGGTTCTAAGTTCTTCTAGTTTCCTAGGAGGTGGAGCAGTGGAACCCTTTGGTTCTGCTGCAGGGTGTATGCTAGGAAACAGTAGAGGAACCAGGTTCCTAGCGGTCAGACACAGTCCCCAGTCTAATTACAGTGTTTATATGGGCCAGGTACAGAATAAACCTCATAAAAAAATGTTTATTTTGATAAAACACAATTTAAAAATTGTGGACAATGTACCCACAAATGCATTAATTTTATCTTTAGGGGTAAAGTCTTGAAAAGGTTAAAAGGCTTTGAAAAAATCCTGTACTGTATATTTCTATTTACAGTTTTGAAAATCCTATTTAATTACTTAAAATATATGTACTGTATATTTTTATTAACAGTTTTGAAAATCCTATTTAATTACTTAAAATATATGAACTGTATATTTCTTTTAACAGTTTTGAAAATCCTATTTAATTACTTAAAATATATGTACCGTATATTTGTATTAACAGTTTTGAAAATCCGATTTAATTACTTAAATATATGTACTGTATATTTCTATTAACAGTTTTGAAAATCCTATTTAATTACTTAAAATATATGTACTGTATATTTCTTTTAACAGTTTTGAAAATCCTATTTAATTACTTAAAATATATGTACCGTATATTTGTATTAACAGTTTTGAAAATCCTATTTAATTACTTAAAATATATGTACTTTATATTTGTATTAAGTTTTGAAAATCCTATTTAATTACTTAAAATATATGTTCTGTATATTTGTATTAACAGTTTTGAAAATCCTATTTAATTACTTAAAATATATGTACTGTATATTTGTATTAACAGTTTTGAAAATCCTATTTAATTACTTAAATATATGTAGTGTATATTTCTATTAACAGTTTTGAAAATCCTATTTAATTACTTCAAATATATGTACTGTATATTTCTATTAACAGTATTGAAAATCCTATTTAATTACTTTAAATATATGTACGTATATTATTATTGACAGTTTTGAAAATCCTATTTAATTACTTAAAATATATGTACTGTATATTTCTATTAAAATCCTATTTAATTACTTAAAATATATGTACTGTATATTTCTATTGATAGTTTTGAAAATCCTATTTAATTACTTAAAATATATGTACTGTATATTTCTATTAACAGCTATGGTTGTGTTGGGGAAAGTCAATAGAAAATACAATATTTTTCTCTAGGCACCAGCAGGAGAACAGCATAGTTCTATTGTACAGGATAACAAGTGGGAAAACCTTCCTTCTCCGTTCAAGGAAGTTAAACTGGACAAGATGGATGGGAAGAACCTTCTTGGCAAGGTACGAATATAGAATTTAAAAAAATAATAAAATATGTTCCATAATTAATTAGCTGATAATTAATTTAATTGAATTTGCAGTGTTGCAGAAATATGGCAAGAAAACACAGAGACAACATTTTTATATCTTTATTTACCAGAAACTCCAATATTTTCAGAATTTTCAAACCGTCTTTCATGTCTGATGTTTAAGGAAAGACTTAATTTATATATTTTTTTTAAAGCTTGTCTTATCTCCCCGTATTATGGGGGGGGGGGTGCGGATAAAGGATAAAGGGGGTTTAAAGATTTTTTTATTGTTTAGTTGGAACTATTGATGGCTGCTCTGTCAACATCATGACCTGTGATCCCTCAAACAAGAAAACCTAAGAAGTATTTGTGAAGTCTCTCTCCAACCCTAGACAGTATACAGTGACCTGAGGAGAGAGAACGGATTAAAACTGAACCAAGATCATAGAACAATATTTCTGAAACATCCAGATTTTATGTTAACTTATTATGTTTGAACTTTGAACCAAAAGAAAGATCCGCTTTGAATATAAATTATTGATATTTGATATTTTGCAGAGGATATGTCTCGAGCAGCCGTTCTTACCGCTAGGTCGGTCTTAGCACGGTCAAATATTAACTTTGCTCAAACCAAGGTCAATCAGGTTCACCAGCTTAATACAATTGTAAACAGGTATTTTTAAATTATTTTGATGGATTTTTGGATTTAGTATTTTATGTTTAAATCCTGAATTATGATAGGAGACAAAAAAAATCTGCCTAGTCAATGGGAAAATTGTAACAAAAGAACGAAATATCGATCAAATTTAGAGATTGAATTCACTTTTCCGTGTTTACCAATTTTTATAATTTAATTTATTCCTGATTAGTTTAAACAAAATTTTATGTTTAGTCGGAGCATGGTGAGTTCAGGGGTATTAGCTCCAAAGGAGAGAGTAACTGCAACCCTAATCCCCGGAGACGGAGTTGGGCCAGAGATGGTTTCAGCAGTCGAGGAGGTCTTCAAGGCTGCCGGAGTTCCAATGGATTTCGAAGTTTTTTTCCTGAGCGAGGTTCATGCATCTCTCTCCGTCCCTGTAGAAACCGTAGTTGAATCCATTACTAGGAACGGGCTGTGTCTCAAGGGTGTGCTACAGACTCCGATGTACGCAACTGCAGGGGATGAGGATACACTGAACATGAAGATGAGGAAAGGGTTGGATCTATATGCAAGCGTGGTAAAGGTGACTAGTATCCCCGGGGTGAAATGTAAACACAACAACGTAGATCTTGTTATCATCCGTGAGCAGACAGAGGGAGAGTATTCATGTCTGGAGCATGAATCCGTACCAGGGGTTGTAGAATGTCTCAAGGTGGTTACTGCATCTAAATCATACAGAATTGCTAAGTTTGCGTTCGATTACGCGACTAAATTCAACCGGAAGAAGGTGACTGTAGTCCACAAGGCGAACATCATGAAGCTGGGGGACGGTTTGTTCTTGCGTTGTTGTGAGGAGATATCCCGTCTCTATCCTAATATTGAATTCGAGCGTATGATCGTTGATAATGCCTGCATGCAGATGGTTTCTAAACCTCAGCAGTTTGATGTTCTAGTAATGCCGAATCTTTATGGAAATATTATCTCCAACGTAGCAACAGGTCTGGTTGGAGGAGCAGGACTGGTTGCTGGAGAAGGATACAGCACTGAATGTGTTGTTTTTGAACCCGGAGCACGTCACTCATTCGGAGAAGCTGTTGGAAAGAACGTGGCGAACCCGACCGCTATGTTGTTCTGTGCCGCGAACCTGTTGGATCATGCCAGCCTCAACTTTTACGGGAAATTGATCAGAGAAAGCGTGTACAGGGTTCTGAAGGCCGGGAAGGTGAAGACCCAGGATCTAGGAGGATATGCTACAACAAAACAGTTCACAACTGCTGTTATTCAGAATCTAAATATTAAATAATCTACCTCAGCTCTTGGTATAGATATAGTTGGAAACCAATTCTAGATGCACCTTATACCATTTCATGCACGCAATACGCAACAAGGACGGATTTAAACAAGCTCCTCCGCCGCTACATTTGCATTATTGTAATATCGTTAAATATTTAGAACACTTAGAGGTCCTGGCACATTATTCAAACTTTGACACATATCAATTCTTTGATACACACAAACATACTTCACTTTGTTATTGTTAAATGTTAAACATTCCTCATGAATTGCATTTAAATCTCATAGTTTTCAATTTTAGTTCTCAAATGATCTATTGTACAACTGGAGAATAAGAATTCTGATTTTACCTATAATAAAAGTTCTTCTCCTGAATCCAACTTAAAGTATGTAAATAAAAAAATTTGTTGAAATCCTGGTTTCATTAAACAATCGACTGTTTTACTCTGCAATATTGAAACCTTAAATAAATTGTGAAGCAAACTTAAAGAGCCTGGAAAGTCTGAACTATAATATCCTCCTGTTTGTTTTCCCCATTTTGTTATTTTCTCCTAGTCAATCACATCATAGATCAATTATTTCAGATTCAAGATGGATCCGCCCCGACCACCTGACGATATTGAGATGAAGAATATTATTGATAAGTTGGCGCAGTTCGTGGCAAGGTAGGAGGAATGCTCCCCCCCCCCCCCTCCACTCTCAATTTGTCAAAAGTTTAAAAAACTGAACTATTCTTAATGAAATCTGCTGGAAATTCAATCTATTATGAACCAAAAAATTATTTCCACATTTTGATTTCCAAGAAAAAAGTATCAAGGATAAGAATCCAAGCTCTGAAATATCAGCGATGGGAATTTTTGGGTAATATGTAATTTAAGATTATAAAATGAGTTTTTGAGGGAACAGTTAAAAAAGTTGGCAAGTTTAAGTACTTAAAGCGTCGAAAATGATTTTTTTCCGTTAAGTTAATCATCATTAAACTTTTAAAAAATTCTTATACAAATTACTTTCAGTAAGTAAAAAGCAACAAAAGTTTTTTTTCCGTTTAAATACCAAATCTCCGCCATGATTAATAATAATACAGAAAAATATAAAAGCATGCAGGATGTGTATTTTTTATAAATATTGATATACAGATATATAATAATTCTTGAATGACTAGGAACGGACCTGAGTTTGAAAGAATGACAAAGTCTAAACAGGAGAATAATCCTAAGTTTGGATTCCTGTGGGGCGGACCTTACTTTAACTATTACACATACAAGGTCACCACGGAGCAGACTGTCATGCGCCATAAACAGAACCAGGGCGGAGGCGGAGGACCACGCCCCTTGATGGATTTGGATCTTTCTGGAAGCAACGCTTTCTCGCCAGGATTTGGCGGGAACGGCAGTGGCGGCGGTAACGGTTGGGGAGCCCCGGAACCACCGGCAACCTCTCATATCAAAGATCAGATCTCTAATATCAAGAGCAGTCAGGCAACCCTGAGGGAACAGATTAAACAGTCCGAGCAGAACCTTGAAGCTCAGTATGCTGTTCTTCAGCAGAATAACGAGATAATAGCTCAGGAAGCTATATTGAAGGCACAGGAGAATGATCTGGAAGCTTTGAGTCGGATCACAAATGTTTCTTTATCAATCTTTGACTCCGTTCTAGAACCTATAGTGAACAGCTGTACTAAGGATTCTATTAGTAGCGGTAAATCCTGGATATTTCAGAACAGTAACAGTGCAGACTGTAATAGGTTGCTTGCTAACTATTTAAACTTCAAGGTAACCAGTCCTCTCTCAGACTTCACCAACAAGCTCCATATTATTTACCTGGTCAACGATGTTCTCCATCATTGTGTCCGGAAGAACAATCACGAGTTAAAGAATGCATTTGTCAAGGTCGCTGTCTCTATGTACACCGCAGCTGCTTGTGTAGCTACAGAGGAACAGATGCCAAAACTAGCTAAACTAGTTACTCTCTGGGAAACCAAAAGTAAGTTTTTTGACGAGAAGATCATTGATAAGATGAAAGATTACAGGGAATCATTTCACCAGTACCAGGTTGAGCTGAAGAGATGCTACATGGTAGAGATCAGTACCTCCCAGGAACCTGGACTCAAGACGTATGACGGATACAAGTCCCAGCACGAGCAGTTCTGCGCACACGCAGAAGCACAGCTCCGACAGCAGTCAATGGAGCTGGAGGGGTTAAATGCATCTCTTCAGAATATTGAATCTACTCATCAATCTAAAGTTCAGGAGTGGCAGCAGCAACAAAACCAAGGAGGAGGAGGTGGGGGTGGAGGAGGAGGAAATAGAAGGAGTAGATGGGATAAAACAGCTCCTGTTGGTAGGAACTATTAAAATGATTTTTACATTTATTTTACATTAAGTTAGTGTTATTATTTTTACATTATTTTACATTATTATTACTAGTTCTTACATTATTTTACATTATTATTATTATTTGTTACATTGTTAATATTATTATTATTATTAATTTTACATTATATACATTATTATTATTAGGCGGAGGTATTGGCGGTGGAATGCCTGGTTTACCGATCGCGGATTTATCCCGGCCTCCGCCTGGGTTCCAGCTTCCAGTACAGGGAGAAACCATTCCTACTGCTCCGTACTTTGACCTGCCTGCAGGGTTGATGGTTCCGTTGATTAAGTTTGATGAGAGCGGATACAAACCTCTAGATCCTGACAGGATTCGGTTACCTCCCCCTCAACCTCCTAGTGATAGGTTGCTGGCAGCAGTAGAATACTTCTACTCTCCTCCGTCTCATGATAGACCTAGAGACCCTGAGGGTTGGGAGAGGTTGGCTCTTTATGAATGGAACAGAGAGAAACAGTTTGCAATCAGCATGAAGCAGGAAGATATCAAGGTAAAACTGTAAACCTTTCTGGATTGAAACATACACAAATTTCCTGGAAATTTAAGCTTGGCATGAAAACTAAATTCTATTATATCATATCTGTTCGGTTCCATAGTAGTAAACCTATCGTGTTAGAATTCCCATTATTACACGGTTCAGGAGAAAATTTTTCCAATATTGTTCGCTTCCTAGGATTTAAGAATGCTTATTTTTACACTGGGGGTGTAGAATTTTCATTATATCATATCTGTTCGGTTCCAAAGTATTAAACCTACTGTGTAAAAATTCCCATTATTACACGGTTCAGGAGGAACAATTTTAATATTGTTCGCTTCCTAGCGTTTAAGAATGCTTATTCTTACGATAGGGGGTGTAGAATTTTCATTCTTTAACAAATGGAAATTATTACATGGTCAGAGCGTGAAAGAATGTGTATTCTTACACGCTCTGAGCAAGAAAGAATGGAAATTTTTACACTTGTTGAAAAATATTCATTCTTACACGCTTCTTATATTGATCTTTTCGACATAGATCAATATTGATATTAACTTAATTATTTTGTACTAACAACATGCACAGGGCAAACTCATTAATACATGCAAACTTACCTTTTTATACTTTAAAACAACATGCTCACTTACGTTTTTCTTTAATATTAAAACATGCAAACTTACCTTTTTTACTTTAGTAAAACATGCTTACTTACCTTTTCATGTTCACTTACCTTTTCATGCTCACTTACCTTTTTATACTTTAAAATAACATGCTCATTTACCTTTTTCTTTAATAGTAAAACATGCAAACTTACCTTTTTTACTTTAGTAAAACATGCTCACTTACCTTTTCATGCTCACTTACCTTTTCCGTTTTTTGAAGTACTGATATATCTTAATTCAGGAATTTCTATTTAAATCTTAACCTTAGTCCTGACAGAAAAGTGGAACCCCCCTGTGCTTATTTAACATTTTCTGACCTTTCCAAAAATAATTAACCATGTACTTAAAACTTTAACCTTCCATTGGACATTTTCATCAAACTTCCGAGTCTCAAAGCATACTGCCCGACTGCCTACTTTATTCAATTTGGTTTTTAGTTTTTCTTCATTGCAAACCAAGTTTTGTAAGATTTTCACGATTTAAAACAACTGCTTTTTCACTTTATAACTGGATACTGAACAAAAAAGGCTTTTCCAAAATTCTTCATTCGGTTGTAATATTTGGACAAAATAGAACTCCATACTCCATAGTAATGAAAACAAACCAATAAATCTTGATTCATGAATAAAAGACAAAGATCTTCATAATTTCATTTCTTGAACTGGTTTTCACTAGATAACCTGCTTTACTTTCCTTGTTTTGGAAGATTTAGGATCTAATATCCTGCAAATGTAAATGATTTAACGCTTTTGTTCAATAGATTGAGACAACCCGCTACTATTCTCTTTCTCTCTATCTAAAAATACTTACTTGGAGTACTTACTTACTTCAACATGCTATATCTAAATATAGCATCAACTTAAAAAAAACAAAACAATTGCATTATGAATAAGTAAACAAACAAACTAACTAAGGAAACAAATCACTAAAGGGTTTTTAACATTTTACCATTGTAACACTAGAAAAATAAAAAAAAGAGCAACAGTGAAAAATAAAAACTTATTTGCTACCCTTCATGATGTCAATTATTCCAGCTTGATAAAGTCGTATTTCACACGAATTCAGAAAAAAATTATTTCTTGGGTATTTTCTCATGGAACCTCAGAAATATGATAAAATATTAATCTTATAAGGATAATAAATAATTATATATAATTATTTTAGTCTGGACGAAGACCTAAATCTCTATCCAATAGTCCAGACCATAGCAGAGAATCAACTCCAGACCAAACCGTTCCGTCCAGCCGGGACGGAGACGTAAGGAAGAAATATCGGTCCAGATCCAGAACCAGATCTAGATCTAGAGGGTCCACTCCCCCTAGAAAGTCTTCTAAGCATTCACGACGCCGATCTCGAACCCGAACACGATCCCGAACTAGGTCTCGTACACGATCCCGATCCCGTACCAGATCAAGATCTAGAGAAAGGAGGCGATCGGTAAGTTCAAAATTTTTTCTGTTTTCTTTATTTTTCAAGATAAAACTGAAAGACTGTCGCAAGATCTTTCAATGCGCTCGCTAAAAATTGGTATAATTTATTCTATTTCTATTTTAGAGATCCCGATCACCGATGAGAGACGATTACTCAATGCCGAAACATTTGACCAAACGTTCACCCTCACCTCGTGGCGGATCCCCCCGCCGCTCAGGATTCGGCGGTGGCGGGGATGACCGGTTGAGCGATGCTAACAAGGGTCATCAGATGTTACAGAAGATGGGTTGGAGAGGAGCAGGGTTGGGAAGCCAGGAATCTGGTATAGTAGATCCTGTGAGTGGAGGGGAGACCAGAGACAAGATGGATCAGTTCCACGGAGTCGGAGTTCAAGGAGATCCATTCGATAGTTTCAGGAAGCAGAGAGCCGGAGCATTCTATACTCGGATGATAAATAAAGCAGAAGAACGAAAAGAGAAGAAAAGGCATGATGATGATGATTAATTAAGTTCACAACAGTTTCCTACGAATAATTTTGCTAAATTGTTTAATTCATGTATTCTTGTAGAATGGATAAGATAAACTGCACTCTGATTAATAATTACTTCTTTGTACCGTTTCAGAATTAAAAATGGCGGAGGGTGGAATTGAAGAAAGGTTGGGAATGAATGAACAAATAAAGGATACAGAAGGTTCCAAACCTGAGGATAAGGTTGAAGGGCCGGTTGCTTCTCCGACCTGTATCATAGTCCTGGGAATGGCAGGATCGGGTAAAACCACATTTGTACAAAGACTCACATCAGATCTGTACAAGGGAACGGTTCCTCCGTATGTAGTGAACCTAGATCCTGCGTGTAGAGAGGTTCCGTATCCGGCAAATATTGATATCCGGGATACGGTCAACTACAAGGAGGTTATGAAACAGTATCAGCTCGGACCCAACGGAGCTATCGTCACAAGTTTAAACCTGTTCGCTACAAAATTTGACCAGGTCGGGACAAAACAAATCAGGACCATTGCAATTATCTAAGGGTTAGAAACATGAATCGATATCATGGGTTGAATCAATCAATGACATTTAAAAAAAGAATTCAGCCCTGAACCATTCAAATAAATAAAACACATGGGAACTTTATTTTAAATTTGACCTGAGGTGTATGTATTTTATTGACAGAAATTCTATCAAATCTAGAAATTGTCCTTTTCTGTTCTATAAAATATAGACAAAGTCTTATATTTAAGAACTTAAGTAGTTCCGAAAGTTTAATTTTACAGAAAGTAGTTCGAAATTTTAATTTGCTTGGTTAGATAATATTCTATTAAGCAAAAAATAATATATATAATAAATGAATGTGAAAAGCTGGGAGTGGCAGGTTTATTACTGGTATTTCTACAGTTCTCAATCATCAATCTTAAATCAGAGAGTATACACTCCTTAGGCTCAACTCAACCTTTATAAGATATCCAGGCTCAAATATTTGATTTCAATAAGATTAAATTGCATTTTTACTAATATTACAATCTCGTGTTCAGTATATATGTACACACATTATTCACTCAATACAGATAAGATTTAGTGATTGAATATTCGAAATCTTTCAAAGAATTATTTCCTGTATTGATAATTATTTTTTTTTCTTTGTCGCTCTGAAAGGTCATGTGGGTTGCCTTAATTTTTTTGTCCCTGATGGTTCAGCTGTTCGAACGTTTATTTGAAACAAACTGGCAGACAGACAAACAGACAGACATACACCAAAACAGACATACAATCAAAGTATTTATATGTTAATTTATTTTTCTAGGTGTTAGATCTTGTAGAGAAAAGATGTAAGGAGAAACCTACAGAATACGTTGTCTTTGATACTCCAGGTCTGTACTTCATATCCATTGAAATCAATTCATTACACTCTTTTTTCTTGTTCTAAAATTTTGTTATTTTCAGGTCAAATCGAGGTTTTCACTTGGTCAGCCTCCGGTAATATTATAACAGAGGCCCTGGCCTCCAGGTATCCAACTGTAATTGTCTACGTAATGGACTCCGCCAGATCTACCAACCCTGTAACCTTCATGTCTAATATGTTGTACGCCTGCTCTATCCTATACAAATGCAAGCTTCCCTTCATCGTAACGATGAACAAGATCGATATCGTGAGCAACAACTACGCTGTAGAATGGATGCAGGATTTTGAGGCTTTTCAGGACGCACTCTCCGGAGAAACGTCCTATGTATCAAACCTTGCTCAATCCATGTCTCTGGCTCTAGACGAGTTCTACAGCAACCTTATCTCCGTAGGTGTCTCCGCTATGACCGGAGAAGGGATGGATAAGTTTATCGCTGCTGTTGATAGAGCAAGGTTGGAGTATGAGAACGAGTATAAACCAGAATATGATAGGTTGCTCCTGGAGAATCGTGAGGTGAAGGAGAAACAATCCGTCCCTCCTCCGAAAGGACTCTGTCACACTAAGAGAGCAGAGGTTGAACTTCCGGCGAATATTGCTAATGATGTTTACCTCCGTCATCCAGGGGACGAGGAGGTAAAAATGAGAATTAAAATTTATTTTTATTATCAACTTTTTATTCAATTTTTTTTGTCCAGGAAGAGTTCGAAGAGGAAAGATATGATGATGATCATGAGGTGGAGAGTAGAGAAGCAGACAGTTTTAATAATTATATCTCGAGCAGAGAAACTAAAATATTAAAACAAATAAACGCGTCCAACAAACCTTAGATTAAATACTGATCAGCCTGATCAATGTGATATTTATTTTCAGAGAAGATGAGTGAACTCAGTCAGGTTGCAAGATACGGTAGATACTGTCTCAGACTCTCACATTGGGGTTGCGCCAACCGACCCTTCTATCACATTGTTGTTGCAAAGAAAAGTTTTCCTAACCGAAGATATATCGATCCTGTGGAGCAAATTGGAACCTTTGACCCGCTCCCTAATGCATTCAATGAGAAGCTGTGCTCCCTAAACCTGGAGAGATTACAACACTATCTGTCAGGAGGGATAACTGTGGAGACTCCGGTAGCTCAGCTCCTAGGTTTAGCTGGATTTCTCCCGAACCATCCTTCTACTTATGCTCAAGCCTGGAGAAATCGCGAAGCGTTAGATAATCCTAACACTAGACGAACTAATGTAATTCTCAAGGAAGAGTTAAACTAAACTTATTAAATTTAAACTAGATAATTTATTGCAGAGAGCATGGTTGAATATTGAGTAAGGATGCAGAACCCTGGAGAGAAACATGTTTTATATCCTCAAGCTCCGGCAGGATACGGAGATCCGTCGCAGGTCAACCTCACCAATCCCGGAGGTAGAAACTATAACAAGTATCGTAAATATATTGATATTAAAATGGTCTTGGGTCCGGGGGGAGGGGGAATCTACAAATTATTAATTTAGAAGTAAAAAAGAACAAAAAAACTTATTAAGTTTTTATCTGTTTAGAAAATCGACCAACCAATGTGGGTAAAGCTACGTCCAAGGCCGGAGCATATGGAGGATCTGAACTTGGATCTATTGTGGGGGGAGCTGTGGGACCTCCTGTCATTGGATCCATCATAGGAAACCTAGTTGGAGAGAGGGTCGGAGAGAAGGCAATTAATGAAACAGGTTTTTATATTCATATCAAAATATTTTGAAATTATTATTTTATTATTTCATTGTAAATGTGTAGACTGTAGAGAAATACTATTAATTATGTCTTTTAAAAGAAACCCCGGAAGCAATCATGGAAGAATTTCACTAAAATTCTTGAAATCTATCTTCTTTTTTTCAGGATTGAATAAGTTTGCAACGAAGACAGGAGACAAGTTGTCTGGTGTTATAGGAAGAAATAACGTAGAGAAGGTAACTAATGTTAGCTATTAAATTTTAAGTTTTAAATTATAAATCTTTTATCATGATGAATTGAGAATTGTATCTTTAAGATGAGTGAAATAACCTTGAGTGCTCTGGGATACTCGGAGACTGAAGAATGTGTTTGTTGTCCCTGTCTTCCTGCTTCTCAGGTCTATACCATTAAACAATGCATAATTAATTCTAAGGATTATTTCTTGAGATTAGTAGGATTTATCATGTTTTTTCAGTTTTGTTTTTTATGTTTAGGTTTTGTTGGTTCTTGCTATTCCTTTCTTCTTCTTCAACTTCTATAAATTAGGTTTGAGATGAAGTATAATGATTATTTACATAAAAAAAGATATAAACATTTTTGTAAATTGTCCTTTTTAGCAAAAATGGTTTCACTCACGCAGATAGAAAAATTCCGGATTGGAAATGAATTCAGATATATTTTTATATCATCATCAGTCCTTAAAGAATGGTGGTATTAATTATTTTATTTCAGGGTTAGGTGTCTCTTACGACTCTGATTGTTCTAAGATAGCTCCGGATAAGAATTACACCTTTAATTCCACAGATGATATTCCTGATATTTATCCTTGTGAGTTTGGTTTCCACTACTTGGTTGTATCCGGAGCAGTTTGGATTGCGCTGCTTCCGTTCTGGATTTGTGGATTGTTTGGTAACTGCTGGAGACAATGCTGTTGTTGTTGTTGTGATCCAGTAGTTATCTGCTCTACTGTTGTAGACCTACTCCAGGTATGAAAATAACTGGAAGGTTGAACAGTTAAGATCCTTCGGGTTTATAATTGTAATTGTAAGAATTTCTGCAGGATCAAACCTTGTTTTGACAGTATAATAGGCTATCGGAGAGGAATTAAAAAATCCGTTGTTCTGGATAAGCTTAAGAGATCAACTTAGCTCCACATACATTTATAGATGCATATTTTTACTTTTCAATATATTTATTAGAGATGCTGCTGTGAATGCGGAAACTTTAAACTTTGTGAAGTTCTCTGGATGATTCATTGTCTCTTTCATATGGTTTGGTCTGTTCTAGCCTTGGCCTGGTTAATTGGTAAGAAGAACAACTCATTTTTTCTGCAATTTTTATTTTTTTGGCAAATCAATTTTTTTTTTTTTTAGTTAAAAGCTTTTATTTTATGAGATATAATGTTCAGGTCTGCAGTTGGATCTTCCCGTCCTGGAGTTGAAGGATCAAATTGAGGTTCCAGGTTGGAATGTTCCTAAACCTGTCTCCAATACTGTGATTGCATCCATAGTTCTAGACTTCGTCCTCGCAGGCTCAGAACTCTTTCATAGGATTAGGGTTAAACTCAGGTAAATAGAATGTTAGATCAAGAAAAAGAAAAAAATTCCAGATTTAAGAAAGAGGTATTGCCAAGTTCAGACACGATTCACAACGTAATCTTTTAAATTGTATCTGATCTAGCAAGAGGAAGAACATTTCTCCAATATTGATTTTTTATCTATTTTCTCGATATTATTAGTTTTTAAGATTACTGTTCTGAAACTTATGAACTTAATGTCAGAATCCCACAATTTCTACTATTTACTATCTTTAATTTCAGAGCAGGACAGACAGTAGAACACTTGGAGATGGAGGAACAGAGGCAGGAGTTACATAAACCTTACTAAACCAGTCTTCATCCTTACTATCGGAGACAGGAGATTCATAAACTTCTTCATCCTTACTACCAGAGACTGGAGATACATAAACCTTACTGAACCAGACTTAATCCTTATTATCAGAGACAGGAGATACATAACCCTTACTGAACCAGTCTTCATCTAATTTACGATCCGCTTCGTTATGATTTAATTGTTTTATCTCGGAGTTTTAAGCCATTTAACATTATTTTTCTCTTAATCTTAACCTTGCCGCTCAACCTGCAACCAATGCACTAACAAAATATTAAATGTACATAAAAGTATGAAATATGTACAATATTTATGTATTTATATGTAAAAGCTTAATGTACAGTTTCTTAGTACAGCTTTCAAGTCTTCCGCTACCCAGCTTTAATTTAACTTATATGTAAACTCAGCAGACAGTACTGAAATAACGTTATTTATTTATTAATTACAGTAATTATAACCAGGAATGTTTATATGACCCTCAGTGTTGTCAATTAAACTTAGAAACACTCAATTCGAATTTTCAGATCTGACCATACAGCTGTGAATAAAATCTCAAGCAACTGAACTTTAAATTGTCTCAATTCAATGGTGTTTCAAACTCGTTTCTCCAGGGTTACCCATAAAGGATTAGGTCATAAAGACGTCTGTACGATTGCATGCAGCTTTCTTTGCCAAATCCTCAGTATTCGTCTAAAAGAATTCATTTAATGAAGAAAATTTAACCTTGAGATCGTTATATGTAGAGTTTCAGGTAGTCATGAAAATCGCATCTTTTGTGGGTAACCCCACATATATTGTAATATACAATATACATATTATGAAATTAGTAACAAATATATTCTAACAAAAAATTAGTTGTGTAAGAAATATATTTTGAAATAAATCTTATTGCTTAAATAATTCATTTAGTGCTCTGGTAGAATCAATAATTGTTCATGGAGTAAAGAGACTACAGTAAATATACAGGATGGTCAGAATTTATGTAGCACAGCTTCCGAGAGATTTAAGATGTCTACCAATCTTTAAATATGAAAAACTTTTAATATTTGTAAATTATGAAGGTATTTTAAACCACATCTTGCAAGTCAAGGGTTGGAGAAATTAAGTTTTTTTATGCTCTGAAATTTTTGGAAGTAAGAATAAATTCGGCGTTGATCAAGCATTCACTCAATTCCCATTTTAATTGGGTCACCCATTATAAGAAAAGTAAGTAACCCTGCATTCAAAGATGGCAATTCCAGATTGACGATGAATGTCTGATCAAGTATGAATTAGGTATCATTGTTAAGTTTTGAAAACAGATTATTTTCATTTGTTGTTTTTTTATTAAATTAAGTTGAGCATTTTTACAAGAGGAAAACATATTCGAGTTATTAATCACTTATAATCCTAGACGGACGACTACACTCTCTTCCAGATTCTTAATCAAATAAAGGTTTAAAGGTACCACTGTGAATCTGGCTTCGCCATCTTAGAATGGAGGGTTACTTGAAATAAGGCTTACAGTCCCTTTAAACAAGTAGGTAATATTGGTTAATAATGCAAGGGACATTAGTTCCAAAACTAACAATTGGTCCATTTCTAACACTGAGTGTTAGAAATGGGCACAAATTGAAAGCCTGGGTTTTTGGGATCCCGGCCCATATCCAGAGTAAAAGTTGAAAATAAAAACTATAACCAACATTTTATTCATCATGACGAGGACAATAATTCCCAACTTTAAACTTTTTTTAAAAATCAAAATTATAATAAGAGTTCTTTTTATATTAAATCTCTTGACAGTTTTCAAGACAATGCCAGGTTTTCCATTTTAGAACGTATCCTGAATTTGAAACATTGTCGCGTTTTCGAGACAAAACCCACTTTCCCGTTTTTGAGTATAACTCTGAATTCAAAACAAACCTCACTTTCATAACTTACAAAATAAATCACTAATGAAAACTAAACTAACTTCTGAATTATTTTTAGATTCCACATTTTATCTGTTAAATTAGAGAATATCGATGATTTATTTTTACATTTTAAACAAAAAGTTTCCCTCATTTCTAGTTAAATCTATATTATAAGAACAAATGATATTGATATTTGATTTCTCAATGCTGTAATGATTTTTAAATTATAAAAAAACAGTTTGTTTTTATTTTCTATTTTGTTTATATTTTATCTTATCAAAAGATCTTGTTTTGTTTTATAAGTGCGTAAATGCTTAAAAACTGACATTGATATGAATTCCGGTAATTGTCTCAAAACCAGGATATATTCTGAAAACGCGACATGAGCTGAGATCCTAAAATATTTTTAACTAGGGATATGTTCGAAAATGAAATCAAGAATTATCCAAAAATAATTATCACAACTTATTATTAATTTAAATTTGACATTTATTGTTTCAATAAATAGTTTTAGCCATTTTTTATAAATATATGGTGTAATTTTGTTCTACTCGTCTTGGATTTACAGATACATCCCCTTGAAAAAGATAACTTTGCAGATTTAACACTCAGTGTTAGAAATAGGCAAAGTGTTAGTTTTGGATCTAATATCCCCTGTAATGATCAATGAAAGTTCTTTCTGTATACGTGCAGTCCAATTTAGGTACTGTCCGATGTATGAAAAATCCTAAACTTTTCATATAAATTATGCATTATAAATTGGTCAGTCATTTTGATAAAACTAAGCTTTTAGGACGCTACGCGCCCGTCTTCTATTTCAATTTTGAACATTTTCTTTTTTATACATTGTAAAACAAAAATAAAAAAGTTGCAGTTTTTATAAAAAAAATCGTGGAGTTTTAACATCTATTGATAATAAAATTTTTAATTTTTAAAATTTTTGATCATCTATAAACCTTTCATGGCGACATGTGAAGTCCCACACATTTGAACCAAATCGGTTCAGCCGTTTTGACGGTTATTGGATACAAACAAACAAACAGACAAGTATTTCTAAAATTACTTCATTTGTTGAATTTTTGTTTTATTTTTGTTCTTGATTACAGTCTCAAGTTTATAGGCGTGGTTAGGTTCAGTCTGCGAATTTAATCAACATTGTGAACATAGTTTTAATATATCACTTAGGATCGGATTTAATGAGGTTTAGCTAGGTTCAGTGACGGTGACCTAACTCAAATTTATTAAATTTGGACCCTGGAATGTTTTCTATTTTAAGAAGGAAGCCACAAAATCCAAAAAATTCTTATTTATTTCTACAAAGTTTGTCTAAAGCACTACAAATCATTGATATCTGTAAGTACTATCAGGTCTCCCAGGTTTAACTGCTCCGGGTTCAGACTGCTCAGCTCCTCGGAGGGAAGGATCACAATTGTAAGAATATCAAGGCTCGGAGAGTAAATATCCAAATGTTCAATGGTTCCAAGTTTATATTGAATATGAAAGTATCCAGTAACATGAACTATTTTCTCTCTTGTCTCCAGTCCTTTAGACATACTGTGCGCCATGGTTGCGTCCCACAGTGATTGTGCGTCCAACATGCTTGTCGGTACATTAGGATTTAAATTTCCCATTTTTTCCATGATAGAGATAAAGTTTTTCCTATATTTATCACTAGCTCCGGAGTAGGGCAAGGGAGGGAGAAGCTCTTTAGCTCCGGATTCTGAAATTTTATCAAGGACTGATTTTCCGTTCTTCCCAACCATCCTAGTATATCTCCTAGGACAGTTAGCTGCAATCACATCAATTCCTTCCTCTTTACAAAACTCAATGAGTTCCTGATAGTCTGCATGGTTCCCAGGAGGTTTGCTATCGGAGAGAAACGTATCCAAGTTCACCAAACCTTGAAGATATTCGTTGAGAACGGTTTGAGCCTCTCTATCATAGAACTCAAGGGATAAAGCTAATTTTGCGTTCTCTTTCTGTCCTTGAACCTGACGTAGTATTTCCAACTCTAGTGCGTGCGCATGCGCGTCCTCATGGTTCTCTCCGATACAGATTAGTCGTGCAGAACTCTCGGATATTCGCTGCATAAACTCATTCTTGTCAATATTTTCTCCTGTTCCAAGGAAGAATGTTGAACTCCTCGCTGCAGTACTCATCCCTGCAGATAGAGAAGAGAGAACTGGGAATCTAAATCTAGAAAATTGTTGAACCCTGGACAGAAACATATCAATCATTCAAGAACTTGGAATATTTACTATAGGATGGAAACCAACCAGAGTTAACTAATCTCTCCTCGAAATCATCAACCAACACGACTTGATGCTTCACGTGTGAGGTATAAGTGTCGTAGATCAAACTTATCACGTTGTCGTAAAGAACACGAAACCTGAAAGGATATGTTTATGAAATGCTGCGCTGAGTTTTGAAATAACATAAACAGCAAAGAATACCTTATAAATATATTTAAAAGGAAGGAACGTATACCTGGTAGGAAGGTTAACGTATACCTGGTAAGAAGGTTAACGTATACCTGGTAGGAAGGTTAACGTATACCTGGTAGGAAGGTTAACATATACCTGGTAGGAAGGTTAACACATACCTGGTAGGAAGAAACGTATACCTGGTAGAAAGGAACGTATACCTGGTAGAAAGGAACGTATACCTGGAACAAAACGGAGCGTATACCTAATAGAAATGAACGTATACCTAGTAGGAAGGAACGTATACCTAGTAGGAAGGAACGCATACCTGGTAGGAAGGAACTTATACCTGGTAGGAAGGAATGCAAAGTTAAAGAATTGAGCTGGAGGCCAAATTATCCACTCTGCCAGATAAAGACGTCCTCCTAGTTGTACAGTTTCTTTCACAGCCGTCCTAGTAATTTGATTTCAAAAATATTTCGAAAAAATAATGATCTTATTGATGAATTAATAAATAGCTTGAAACATTTAATAATAATATTGGGATGCAGCGCATTAAGAAAAGGTTGAACAATTTTACGATTTAAATACTTATTCAGTAATATTACGTTTTGCTAATAAAGGTCGGGGTTTTCATTGCGGAACAACATTGAATGATAATAATCTAAAAAGGGGTGACATAAGTTAATAAAATGAACCTGAAGTTTAGGTTCTCCAGTCTAGCGGATACTAGGATACAAGCTGCTATACAGACAGGACTAAAGATAATCTGATCCCACGCAACCTTACGTATCACTACTCTCAAACCTCGGCCAGGCAGGGCTCGGTCTAGGTAGTTATACCTAGAGGAGAAAATTCATTAAAATTATTTAATCTTTTTATAATTACTTAACTCTTGATCATAAAGGTTCAGGTCGGTTTAATGATAAGTTATGTGATGTTCAATATGAAACAAAAATCATGGGCGGAATTTATGCCTTTAGGGACTGGAATACCGACTCACAACGGTAAATATAAAACCAATGTCTGATCAAGATTGATCCATGATAATCTCTTAAAAACTAAATAATTAAATTATGGTTTCTCTTTAGAAGTATCTTAAGAAATGAAAGATATTTAACACGTTCTTAATCAGAAAAAGATTTAAACTTTAAGGGTACTATTGTGAATCCGACATGGCACTCTACAAATGGAGTCACAAATAACTTACCAATGATGGCAGAGAAACCCCGAGGTGAGACCAAACGAAGCTGACATCTGCAAGGTTCGTTTTGAATTCCATTTTGATTTAGACTAAACAAAATACAAATTTAAAACAGAGCCATTCATGTCATATCTTACTAAGATTTTGTAAGCAAGAAAGATACACAAGGAACAGTCGTTCCAAACGTGTACTGCAGTTTCAGGGAGGGAACGTAAACAAACACAGTGCTGCCTAGGCTGAGTAAACAAAAATGTGGGGGTTCCTTGTGTATCTTTCTCGATTCTCACTAATATAAAATGAAAGAAACCTGCTCAATATTTTGTTGAATGATATCTCCTAGTCCTGACAGAGCGAAGGATATTGATAAATTGGAGAGAAAGAGATGTTTTTTAAAGAGACCAACTCCTACACGACTCAGTTCACCAAGCATGATTCACTCAACATCATTTTTTATTCACTGAAAAATTATGGTTTTCAGTATTTGTACTTTACTTGATTAAGTTAGATCTCCATGTTTAAGTTCAGTTACGAAAACTAGATGTTTAGGAAACTACAGCTGTTGGCAACACTCCGGTCCGGTCTGCAAATAGTTTGGCTTGGACAAGTCGGAATAAGGAATAAGGTCCCACATCAAATTAGACCGCGTCAATGGGGCTAAATTACGATTTGGGGGACAAATCAGAAAATTTAAAAAGAATGAATCAGTTCTAAAAATTTAATAAGGCTAATAGAATTTATTTTTTGCAGAAAATGCTAGATTTTTCGAGTATTATGTGCGTATTTAGGTGTTAAAGATTGGAGATAATCTAATACAGGGTGTCCCACGAAACATGACAGTATGCAGGACGACTTGAATGTCGTCTTGATTTTTGATATAATTTGCTGCGTTTATTTGTCAACTTAATTTTAGAAGTAAATTTCTAGAGATAATAATCACAAAATTTCCCTTGTCCTGCCATTTCCAAAATGTGGTCTGCCTTTTTTGTGCTTTCAATATTGCCCGAGATATGAAGAATTTCGTTCAGATTTCGACAATTTTGCTTTTATTTAACAAAATTGAAATCTGAACCAAACACTTTATATCTCCGGTAATATTGAAAGCACAAAAAACGCAGACCACTTTTTGGAAATGCCAGGGCTAGGAGAATTATGTGATAATTGTTTCCAGAATCATGCATGTTAAAGTAGATAGAAGACTAAATGTCACAAATAAATTCAAATACCAAAGACGACTTTCAAGTCGTCTTCCTATTGTCATGTTTCGTGGGACACCCTGTATGATATGGGACGCTCTGTACAGAGCGATGAGAGCGTCCCATATATCAGATTATATCTAAGCTTTAACGCCCAAATATTCAATTTTTCAAAATAATTCATTCTTCTTAAATTCTCTGAGTAGTCCCGAAAATCGCAATTTAGACCGATTGACGTGATCTAATATGATGTGGGACACCGTTGAACATAGCTTGTACTTAAGGATAAAAAATTGTGTTTTCCTGGGTTCACTGGGTAGATAAGGGTTGGTTGTCTAGAGGTTCAAGGATATACTAGTTCTTCAAGGTAGAGAAGGGTTAGTTGTATAGGTTACATATTCTAGGATTTACTAGTTCTCTTCTCTAGGGTAGAGAAGGGTTAGTTGTATAGGTTACATATTCTAGGATTTACTAGTTCTCCAGGGTGGAGAAGGGTTAGTTATTCAGGTTACATATTCTAGGATATACTAGTTCTACAGGGAAGACAAGGATTAGTTATTCAGGTTCCAGATTCTAGGATTTACTAGTTCTCCAGGGTAGAGAAGGGTTGGTTGTTCAGGTTCCATATTCTAGGATTTATTAGTTCTCCAGGGTAGAGAAGGGTTGGTTGTTCAGGTTCCAGATTCTAGGATATACTAGTTCTCCAGGGTAGAGAAGGGTTGGTTATTCAGGTTCCAGATTCTAGGATTTACTAGTTCTCCAGGGTAAAGAAGGTTCAGGTTCCAGATTCTAGGATATACTAGTTCTCCAGGGTAGAGAAGGGTTGGTTGTTCAGGTTCCAGATTCTATGATTTACTAGTTCTCCAGGGTAGAGAAGGTGGTTGTTCAGGTTCCAGATTCTATGATTTACTAGTTCTCCGGGGTAGAGAAGGGTTGGTTGTTCAGGTTCCAGATTCTATGATTTACTAGTTCTCTGGGGTAGAGAAGGGTTGGTTGTTCAGGTTCCAGATTCTAGGATATACTAGTTCTCAAGGGTAGAGCAGGGAATAATAGAATAGAGAATAATTGGATGTTTAGGGTTCAGATAACATGATACTGATTTTCATGCAAAACTAAATAAAGGCTTATAAGATCAATCAAGCAGATTTTAGTCACATATTCCAGGCTCTCTAGTCTTGTGAAAAAAACTAAATAAAGACTTAAGAATAAAGTAAGAATTGGGTTTTTGTTCACCCAGTCTTTATTTTATCTAACATGAAAGAAATAAAATAGAAATAAAACATGAATGGAAAATTTATTGTATAAAAAGATTACAAATTCATCACATCTAATAAAAACTGGATATTCTACTGGAAGATTAAACCTTGGATTCAGATTCTCGATTCATAACTTTCGGCCTGAGTTGAGAAATATAGCGGGGTTTTGATTAGTTTCTTATGTGGTTGTCCTCGTAACTCCGGCCTCAGTGACTAAACTGACCAGACTACCTGAGGACGGCCTCTCCTCGTTCCTCGTCCACTTCAACATCAATTCAGCGACAAATTCTAAAAAGTACTAGATCAGAGTCTAAAACTAAAGAATGCGCGAATTTTAAGTTCGTGGTTAAAAGTTCTGTAAAATAATGAGTAGCTACATAAATATTAAACTTTCTCAATTTTAAATTTTAATTTCCCGGGAAAAATCTGAACCAATCAGAGAAAAGGATTTACGGAGAATATTACATAACCATCGCTAATCAGCTGTTCTTACGTAACCGAAAACAAAACATACAACCGTTTTTTGGGGTTTACACCCAAAAATTAATTTATCTAAAACGTGAAATTTCTTTAACAAGGTTTTCACTTTTAAATATATCGTAAAGTTGAATGCCGCTTCTCAGCTGCAGCTGAATGAAGATTGAATAAAAGACAAATATGGAAAATGCAGGATTTCAAGATAATTTAAACATCTGTTTAAATTTTAACTCGCCGATTTCGGCGAGTTAAATATTTAACCACAAGGTTAAATATTTAACCTCACGGTTAAAGTTCAGGTTTAAATTAAGTCAAAAGTGGCATTTAACCATGAACTTAAAATTTAAGTCAAAACTTTTCGTTCTTTAGTTTTAGACTCAGATTTCAGAAAAAAGAATAGAAAAATATATAATAAATGTTATGAGTATTGAGTACCCCTCATATTTGTGCCATTTACTTTTATTATTTTTTTCAAAAGTTTATTAAAATCTCTAAAATTGTCCTTTATCATGTTTTTTCAATTTCTCACGTAAAGTTATGATATCAGAGGTGGAAAATTTTGAATGGTTTATTGGCCATCAGAAAAAATACCTCTTAACCAAAGTTTGTGAAAATAAATGTCAGCTGTTTTTCTTGGATTAAGAATTTAATCGGTAATGTTTCCACTGCGGATATAGAGTTCAGCGCCATTTTACTCAAAAGTTTGGAACTTTAGCACTTTTTTTGCCTAGTAACAGGAGTATGACGTCATAAAAATGGCGCACTGTTTGTTTGCACGCAACTAGAAAAGAACTCTCATTTATGTATCAAATCTTTTACCTAACGGAGTCCAGGTGGATGTATCTGCTTTAGACATCCACTTTCTGTTCATTGGTGTATCCAAGGTGTTGGGTAGGATTGCTACAGCTAAAGATTCTTTAGATAATCCTGATTTTCCATCTGCAAGGGAGAACACTAACTGATGGACTGCAGCCTGCGGACAATATTATGGTTGGATTAAACAAGAAATTATTTTAGATCATCAGTTATTCGGTTTTTAATTTAATATTTCTAAAGTAGTTGGAAAATATGTGCTCAAATTATTTTATATTTTGTTTTCAAATACCTTCGCCATCCCATATCCGGCCATAGTAGGGGTTCCTTTAACAGCAGGCTGTGCTCCAGGTAGGACTAGAGTACCTCCATCCTTGAGATGAGTACACGCTAATCTTGCACTTATAGATGCTGGCCACACGCTGGATTTCCACATCAACTCCGCGTTCTTGATGAACTCCGGCGAGGCCGGAGATCCTCCGGCCCAGCCTCCGGCAAGACAGAGAACGGCATCAATCTTCTCTCCGCTCAGAGCTTCAGCTACTGCAGAGCAAACATTCTCTTCCTCCAATTTATAATTATAATTAATAAATCTAATATTCTATAGAAAAGGACCAAGGAATATTGTTACTAAAAGTTTAAAATAATGTGCGTTCATGATTCCTACAGAAGGGAAGATAGAGGGACGCACACAGTCCTATTAATTTTATGAATTTTCGTCTTAAACAGGTAAAGGTAAATATGGACAGTTTACCGTACATAATCAATAAAATTGAAAATTCTTTACAAGCAGTATTTAAATATTATTTTATTTGTCTTTACAAATAATAATATTTTGACCTGTTGTGTCCATGTATCCCCAGATACAATAATATTGTGATCTGCCTGATCGCTCTCCTTCAAGTCTATATTAAGAACCCAGTAGGAGGCCTGTTTAAAGACAGATACTACTGTAGAACCCAGAGCTCCTCTACCCCCGTATACTAGAACCCGTCCTGCAGACATACTCAACACAACTGTTGCTCCGTACTAGGGTTAGATCTTGGATCGATATATACTGGAGACTAGAGATTAAAGTGGGGAATCTGAAATAATAGAGAATATTAGAGGCTACTCACAAGATCCTGACACACATTCGTAACTATATATATTTACTTTGCTTGTCTGTTTATTTGTAACCTATAAATGTCAAAACGGATTAAACGATCGGGCCCAATTTTTTTTGTGGGACCCCACATGGTTCTAGGGAAAGTTTATGAATTGTTAGAATTGAAAAAAATACCTTAACAAAATTTTAGTTTTTTAAAACCACGAAAAAATAAATAGAAAAGCAAAAAATAAAAGTTAAAACCGAAGATGGGCGTGAAGCGCTCTGGAAGCCTTGTATTGTATATATTCGCAAGGCAAAATCAAAACTTGGGGTGAATGGGGGGAGTGGTGGGGGGTCCCTCACTTTTAAATAGAAAAATAATGCCTATTAAATTCCCCCCTTTATATTACACCAAAGCTATTAGAGATAAGAGCATAGCTCTATCTTGAAGAACCCCGACCGGCAGCGGGTAAACCGCTGGATAGCAAGTAAAGCAGGGCAACCCGGTCAACCTTTACATTATAGGGTAATACAACCAAGAGATCAAGCAGGATTAAATTACTGAAGTTTAGTAATAAACATTGACCAGTATCCCGCTTGTTCTACAGGAATCAAAACTAATGATGGAATAAGGAAGGATTTTGAAAGTCGTCTTTAATTTTAAAATTTTTATTAATTGCTCTCAAACTAACTTTCTTTGATGCATTTAATTCAACAGATCGTAAAAAAAATCCTTTTAGTGGCCGTCATTCAACCCACAATTTAAACAGCCCAGAACAGCATACAAATTAAATACTGAAAATATCAAAAATCATTCATTTTAACCAACCAGAAACTAAAACGTTTATTTCTAAGAACTTTTAGCTTTCACAGATAGTAAAAGAGTGTGTACTGACAGAGGCATATTCAAGGGGGGGGGGGGGCTTTTCAGGGTTTTTGGACCTTTATAAAAAAACTTTTTAAAGCCCCCCTCCCTGGACAAATTGTACTGTAGAATACAACCAGGATACAAATGAACATTTAATCAACTAGAAAAAAATGTTTCCGACTTCAGTCTAGTACAATTTTAGTCCGCATATCTAACAAAAACAAGGAAAATTTAAGATTTCAAAAGTATAATTTTGAGCTTTATAAGACAAATTGTTTATAAAAACTGTAAAACAATATATTCAATAACATATAAGACGTGAAGAAATGTTTGTGCTTAACACTATTTTTTTTGTGGGATGATGGTTGACTATAATTATTATTATTACTCGTATTATCATTACAATACCATCTTAATCTTAGGATTCAATAAAGCTAGATAATACACTGTACAGTGTACATCGTACATTATCTGTTGTACATGTATCCATTTTATGAAAAAACAAAATGAATAAGTCATACAATAATTCATTCAATTACCAGGTCTATTCATACTAAGAATAGACCTGGTAATATGGTAACATAAAGTAATAAAACATTTTTAAAAATCTACGAAGTAAATGCAAATTTAGGCCTTGAACAATCAAATATTTCAGTTTTCTTCTCCTTCAAGTATTCAGAGAGAAAATCGCAAATATATTGTTGACAATTAACATATTCGAATTTAACAATAGTGCTCTTTCAAGGACACAGAGGCGTATAACGGGTGGACAAAATCCTGTATACGCCTCTGCAAGGGCAGTTTAGTGTTTGGCATTATGGGTAATATCCAGTCCTAAAGCAATACATTTCAGCGTTGAGAGTTTTTACATGTTTCTTCATTTTCAAACTTAATAATTTTTAACGAAAATATGCCAGATTGTTTAAAACTTAAAAATCTGCGACGATCTTGAACAAATAATTACAAGAGGTAAAAATGGGAATATTTTAGTGTTTAAATGTGAATCTCCTCCTCAGGCATAAAGCTGGTGATAGGGATGACAAGACAGTCCATCTTGACAGATTTACAACTAAACTTGGTAGAGATACGCTTCATTTGTGTACACTGCTTGTGGAACCATCTAACGAATATAATATCATTGTAATTGTAAAAAAAAAAATTTGTTATATAAATTTAAAATGTCGAAATACATTATTATTATTATTATTATTATATTTATTTATTATAGCGTTAGTCAAAAAAAATTTTACTCAAGATGCAAGCTCTGTTATCAATTTTAAACAAAGATATGACGAATACTTCTTTTAAATTTATCAAAAAATTGTTTAATTTTTATGTTTTTAATATAATGAAGACAGTAACTGCATTTATATATATACATATTTTAGATGGAAAATGGCTAAAAAAGAAAAGAAAAAACTCTATGCCAAAAGAGAAAAAAAAGAACTAAAACTAGTAGAATGTCAAAAATGCATAAAAAAGAAACGAAACAAAGATAAAATACCGAAAAATTTAAAGAATTTAATAAATAAAATTTAAATGAGATGCCATTAAAACACAAAACAGAGAACCCATCTTTTAAATTATTTAAATGTACAAACATTACACGTCTTATTTTACAAAAAGAAGAATATAACAAGTAACTTCTAATTCAGATTTATTATGTTAACCACTGTAACACCTACTACACAGCTTTAGGGGGTCCTTGGAGTAATCCAAAAACAAAACTAAACTAAAACTTTAAAACAGATTTGTTAAGATTTTGACACAATATGCATGGGTTGACTTTTCTTCTATGGCATATGATTCTTTATTAATTCTATTTATTAATTTAAAAAAGTGTAAAAAAAGGATGGAATTAAAGTGTCAAGAATTTTTAGTTAATTTCAAATCATCAAGATTTGAAATCCAGACATATCATACAAGATTTCAGTTTATTTTTAAGTTAAAAAATGGTAGCTGCAATATAACTATTATTTTGTTGACGAAAAAACTGGCACATGGATCAAAATCTACATACAAGTAGTCACTTAAATCCCCATTTTTTAGGTATGCTGTAAATAAAAGACCAGAAAGGATTGAAACATATTTTTATGTGAAAGCTAAGCTTTCTCAAACTCTAGGTTTAGAGTTTCTACAATAAGAAAAAATGCCAACCTGTCACAATCACAGCCAACCCATTCCGTGGTTGATATTTCTCCTTCGTCCTCCGGGGGGTCCCAGGAGTTACAGATCCCACACATTACATGCTCCTCATTATCATCCTTGTACAGATCAGTTACATCGGTCAGGTTACTCAAGGATTTAGGTTTCTTAGCTTTCTTAGAGTTGGCGCCATTCTTCCGCTTCTTAGACATACGTTGAGGAGAAGGTTCTGTATCTAGGTCGGATAAAGGATCCCGGAGTATGGCCGAGGATGTGTTAGCTATCACAATATCTGATTCTGAGCTCTGAAGGATTCGACTGAGAGAAGGGAATGAAAGATGTGGAGAAACATGTTTGGTACTACTACTGTGAGATGATTGTTCAGTATCAGCCTGGAGCTCGGAACCTTCTTCAACTATTGAGGATTCCTCGTAAATAGTATCATCAGTACACATCTCAGGTTCATCAAAGTGCAGGGGCTCATTTTTAATCAGAGTACTACAGAAATCTAAAAAAATGTTATTTTAACCAAAAATTTTAAATTTTGTTGATGTTAAATTTTACCTTTTTCTGGCGATGCCCCGTTTTCTCTGAGTTTGATGACAGTATCCATGTCTGCAAGTACCTGATTCATCATCAACATCTCGACCCTGTTTTCCTCGTTCTTCTGGTTCTTTGCCTGCTGGCGTTCCTTCATTATCATGTTAACCTTACTCTTGTCAAAGGAATGAATAAGTTTATCTTTTAGTTCGCGGATTTCTTGGTTTTTGATCGACATTTTCTTTTCTAGATCCTTACTAACATTCTTCATGGTTTCAAGATTAGTAATAACTTGGCTGTAATCACTTTCCAGACTCTCATTCTCCAGAATCAATCTTTCCATCTCAGCCTTCTGTGCCAGAGCTGTGCTCTTCACTCTACTGTATTCTAGAACTTTCTGGTTTAGAGTTATCTTCAGATGTTTGATCTCGTTAATTCGGTTTCTAAGGTCATTCTCCAACTCCTGGTATCTCTCCTTGCTCACAGTGTCACTGGTTGACGAGGGGTTTTTAGATTCAAGATCTCTAACCTTACTCCTCATCATTTCAAGATCAGATCTTGTCTCAGATAATTCTTTCTTTATTTCAGAGATTTCCTTAATTTTCTCTTCCTCTCCAGCTTTCAAGGTTTTAATCTCTTTCTCTCCGTTCTTGATTGCAACATCCTTCCAGTACAGTTGATCTTCATGAGACAGGTTTCCATCCTTCATCTCTTTCAGTTTTTGCTGGAGGGTATCTCTCTCTTTCTCCAACCCGGAGATAAGCTTGACATTGGTAAACTGCCTAGACTCCCAGTTGGAGAGGGTGGACTCCAGAACCTTGATCTTCTTCAACATCTCCTTCTTCTCCTTTTCCAACTCTTTGGCTTTCAGATTCTCAGCATTTTGCTTCTTTAACTCTTTCACAGTTTTCTTGAGCTGAGTTATTTCCGTTTCTGTTGAAGTTTGAACCGCGACTAGGATATCACTGAGAGAATTTTTCTCATCAATAAGAGCTTGCATCTCAGGACTGATGAATATTTTGGTGCTTCGTAAGGAACCTTTATCCTTACTTATCTTCATCTTTAGTCCTGATTTTTCAGGAGTTAAACTCTTAAGCTCTTCATTTTTCTTCTCAATTTCCTTAATTTTTTTCTCAAGTTCCTTGTTTTTCTTCTGCAATTCTTTCTCAGTTTTTACAAGATTAGAAGAAACTGTTTCTAACTCTTCATTAAGTTTCGAATTTTTCTCCTCCTCTGATGTTAGATGAGTTCTTATCAATTCTAACTCTTCATCCGTCTCCTTCAGTTTCTCCTGCAATGCTTCCACTTCCTTCTCCTTATTGTACAATTCTTCATAACTATTTATTCTTTCAGTTTCTTTCTCCTGTATATCCTGGTCTGCCTGCTCCTTGAGAAGGGTTAGATCCATCAATTCCTTGTTCTTCTTTGCCAGTGTTTCCTCAACACTGGAAAAGTTATCATGAACCAGCTCCAGCTGGGCCTGGAGATCTGATACAACCTGGTCTCGCTCCTTGAGTTGAGCTTGGAGATCCTGACTTTTCTTATGTTCCTCTTCAAGTTTAGATTCCTTACTTGTGACCCACCTCGCAAATTCTTCTTGTTTCTCTTTCAGCTTGTCTCTGTGTGAAGCTTCAAGCTGACGTAGTTTCTCCTCCAGCTCTTCAATCCTTTGAGAGTCGGAAAACATTTCTGAACCCCAGGATTTGCGAAACCTATGTCTAGAGGATCCGGTTGGTTCAGGAGAAAACTCAGTTTCAGGAGTAGGCACGCGAAACTGCGAGTTCTTCTCATCTGACTCCGGGTGGTAAGGAGTCACCACAGCCTGTAGTTTAGCAAATCTTGGAGTTTTAGGCAACTCAACTCTAGCCGAGTTCCCTGAACTACTTGCAACCTGGCTAGCTTTTTTAACCTTAAAATGCTTTTGATAGAGTTCCATAGAAACATTATGATCAACTCCATAGTGTAGCATCAGCCCATGAAGATTCTGCCGGGTTTGATGACAGTCAATAAACGGACACCGGAAAGGAAACTTCTTTGGAAGATCATCGCACAAAACTTTTGGAAAATGTCTTAAAGTTAAATGCTTTAATAAAGTTTTCTCTCCCGCAAGCGACATATCGCAGATAAGGCAAAGGATTGTTGTTTTCTCTGGTTCACTCTCCGTCTGAGAATCCTCCTCAGAGTTTAATAAATCTCGACAAGCGTCCTCGTAGAACTTAACAGATATCCGCTCCGTTGTACCGTAGTGCATTAACAAATCCTCGGTTTTCTCCGAGCTTGTCATACTATCCGGGGGGATGTAGTCACACATTAAACATTTAAATGGAGGATTTATTCTCCGTATTATTCTCTCTCTGAAGTGTGTTGTAGTTAAATGCATTTGGAAAAGAGTTTCAGTTTGAATCTTAACCTTGCAGATTCTGCACTGCCAGACATCAGGTAGAGGGGGTGGAGGTTGGAAGGGTGAGAGGGTTGGAAATGCAGGAGATTGAGATTTATCCTGAGTAGGAGATTCAAGGTTTGATTTCGGTTTTATTTTGTATTTGGCAAGATAATCAGCCCTTTTCTCCTGTAAACTTTGTTCCGTCCTGTTCAGATAGTCCTGAAAATATTTACAGGTTATTTATATTTATATTTATATTTATATTTATATTTATATTTATATTTATATTTATATTTATATTTATATTTACACTCTCGTACGTTAAAAACTTACTTTATTTTCAACAATTGGTGAAAAGCTAGGTTTCGACGAGGAGGAGCCAGAAACTAGAACAGGAATACTCCGGGACATGTCGGGAGCTGGAACCGGCTCTGGTGGTCTAACTGTCTCCGAAAACAAAGTTCGGGAGTTAACAGATATATTTAGTTTTGACCCAGTCGGAAACGTTGTTCTGGGGATATCTGGGAAGGATTGATTTGTATTACCAGGAACCTTCTTCCATGTTCCGTCAGATTTTTTCATCCATGCTGTTTCTTGAGATTGAACCCTGGCCTGGTTCTCCTCCTTCTCCTTGACAGAGAGAACCCGCTCAACCCACTCCTCCTCCGGGTCATAATACATGCTTCTATAAACAGAAAGAATTTTCGCGTGCTATTTAAATAAACAATATTTGAATGAGAAGAGGAGAATTCTGTAAATTTCGATATTTTTTGAAAAAACATATTTTATGGCAAACAAATATTTGAAAAATCACCATTACATTTTTAAACAGTACATAATATCTTGAGAATTTGACGGAACTAAAACCGAAATAATTCAGTACATATTGGAAAGTTTGCAATCAACCAAAAATAATAAAAGTATGCATTTAATAACAACAAATCCAAAGTTCTAGACAAGATAGAATGTAAAACCCCGACTAGATGACAAAAAGATTATTTTAGAAAATATGAACGAAATATGACGAACTAATCAGCATGCTCGTGTTGAATCTCAGCTTCTCTCCACGCGTTTCTCAAGTTCTCCGTGAGTGTCCTGAAGTAGGCGGACTTACTAAGCTCCGCTAGCCCACACACCGCCAGGAACAAGTAGGCTAGGAGGAGGAAGTAGTTGAACTGCTTCACGGCAACAGTTGGAACAGGACCTACACAATAACAGCACGTACAAAACACGTAATCACAATATATGTATATTAATTCAAAACATATCTCCCACCGGGGTCCATATAATTCCATTTCGGAATTGAAAGTCCATTCAGGGACATGGAAAAAACCAAGAATGTAAGGCAAGGAAAGTTTATTGCGGTCGTGTATACTCTGCGTACATATTAAAACCAGTTCTCTTTGGGCGGAATTTGTAAACAAGAATAGATGCATCAGTGTTCGTTTAGTATCCGAGGAGGTTAAAAGCATTAAATTTTGAAAATTTTGATAATTCACATAATAGTTTCCTGTGACCAGAATATTTCATCGATTTTATATGTGAAAGATGGATCCCATTTCAGGCTTCGACATCCGTCTTGTGTTTACATTACCGCCCAGAGACAGTTCACTGCAGTACAAAAGATGTGTACACTTCTGAAATAACTTTCCTTGCCTTACAATCCTTGGAAAAAAACTTTCTGTGTCATTGTGAACTTTGGCAAGTTTTTTGTACACGTGGTTCTACGCTTCATAAATGTGTACTGAATTGGGGTGCTAAAACATGTAAATATAAGTAATTATTTTAAGAGTTAAATTATGATGTACTTTGAACCTTGTTGCTCTGAGTCCGTGAGCTCCAGGCTGAGGTTGAGAGGTTTTATACCGGTGAAGTGAGAGACAAAATCCAGGTATTTATCCAAACTCTGCTCAGTATTATTTATCTTATACAGAGCCTTACTGTTGTGGAAAACTAGACAATAAACATCAATAAAAATATATTTTAGAAAAAAATGTAATTAAAAATATAAAAAAAATCTTACGTAGAACTGTTGGGAGAGCAATAACTCCAAACTGAAATAATTCAAAGAATTATTAATCCATTAAAAAGACGTAGCCTACGAGTTGTAAAACAAAATAAAATCTTCAAGAAGCATAAAAACAATAAATTTGAACAAAGAGTGGAAAAATTTACATTGATTTCGATAACAGTCATTAATAGATGTGTTTTAATATTGTTCTGACCTGAGCATATATATTCTGGTTATTAGTTGAATCTATTGCATAGAAATTAATCCCCGGGAAGAATCTGGGTAGAGCATTGTAGAAGGGAGCAGCCTCGGCGCTGAACTCACACCAGGTCGTGAAGAACATTGTCACTGAGCAGATGCCAGGGAAGGTTCGGTTTGTAACATTCGGATCAAACTCTTCACCAACCCGAACCAAGAGCTCAGTACCGTTCTGGATATGAACAGTGGGTTCAACATTATCTGTTTTGTTCAAGAGGATACAGTTTAATTTTGGTTTGTACTTTACATTGCTCATGGATAGGTTTCTTATCAAGCTCTCCTCTGTCTCCTCCAACTCCTCCCCGTCCTTGTTATCCCCAGAGTCTAACCCGTCCAGGATCTCCAGGTCTGCAAACTCGGTAGAATTCTTCTCAATATCAAGGATGGTTTGCTCAAAGTCTCTGAGTACATCTCCCACACTGATAGGTTCAGGGTTCGAGCTCTTGTTCTGAGGTTGAATACTGTTCTCCGACTCTTCAACCTCGGCAACGCTCATGGTTAATAATACAAACAGTATACATGTTAAAAACGCTGTTCCCATTTTAAGTATTCTGAAAACAAAAACCAAATTATAATTAATAAATAATTGTGTTATCTAAAATCTTTAATAATAGATAGTGATTTAATATCTTAATTGCATTTTCTTTTTCTTGATGTTTGAAGGGTAGATAGAACCAAGGACTAAAGTTTTCTCGCTGTAAAGTCGTCTTTTCTTATTCAGAAGGATTTCACATGCTTCAGCTCGGGAACTAATCAAAAGAATATTAATATATTATGATTTACAATTCATAAAAACATATAAATGTGTAGATATTTATGTAAATTAAACTTTTATCAAAAACAATAACATTCAGTTATATTTTAGTTTAAATACAACTTTACAAAAGTAATAAACTTTTTTTGCTTCTTTCTAAAATATGAAGTTCGTGTACTTTTTTGTTTATTAACATTTCATAAATTTTAACTTTTCGCCACTAAAAACTTTTTTATGCTAACCTTTGGCCAACCCCTACACAATCGATCATCATCTTTATTTTGCTCCGTCTCGAATACTGATATTTACTTCTCCGTCTTGATCCATTCAGATATTTACTTCTCCGTCCTGATCCATTCAGATATTTACTTTTCCGTCAGGATCCATTCAGACATTTACTTCTCCGTCCTAATCCATTCAGACATTTACTTCTCCGTCCTGATGCTTTCACATATTTACTTCTCCGTCCTGATCCATTCAGATATATACTTCTCCGTCCTGATCCATTCAGATATATACTTCTCCGTCCTGATCCATTCAGATATTTACTTCTCCGTCCTGATCCTTTCACATATTTACTTCTCCGTCCTGATCCATTCAGATATTTACTTTTCCGTCCTAATCCATTCAGATATTTACTTCTCCCGTCAGGATCCATTCGGACATTTACTTTTCCGTCCTGAATCCATTCAGATATTTACTTTTCCGTCCTGATCCATTCAGGTATTTACTTCTCCGTCAGGATCCATTCAGACATTTACTTTCCCGTCCTGATCCATTCAGATATTTACTTCTCCGTCAGGATCCATTCAGACATTTACTTCTCCGTCCTAATCCATTCAGATATTTACTTTTCCGTCCTGATCCATTCGGATATTTGCATCTCCATGTAAATCCTATTTACTTCTCCGTCCTGGTTCATTTTATCTGCAATAGTGATTAATAATACTTCGTGCAATATCAATATGTTAATATGGTTTCTACAAATACATGGTTTCTGCGAAAATAAAAAAAAGATATAATTTGATCAAATTTAAAAACATTTTTTTGTAAAAATTAGTTTCTAAACAAACTTGTCCATAATGCTGAGTATTTAAATACTATTCAACTATTGTTTAGATGTACACTTAATGATGCTAACTGTACACTTTACAAGGGTTGCTGTACAATTTACAAAGGGATTCTGTACACTGTACAATGTACAAGTCAAATATTAACGAAGCACAATTTATCATTAAGCTCTAAGAATCTGTGCAAGGAACACACGTAACATAGTTTTCGGATAAAAGAAACTTTTTAAAAATTATAAACATTAATATTTGTATAAAAAAATTTGGTAATTAGGCTTTCCAGTTTTCATAAATATTTACAATAAAACTTCTATAATATAATTAAACAAAAACAAATGGTTACCAAATCTAATTACAGATTATTGAGGGAGATTTCAAAATAAATTTGAAAAATTATTTTTTTCTTTATTTGTTTTTTTGAAAATAACTCTAAATGTTTAACAAATTGTGAAGAAGCCCCCAAGAACTATGACAAAACAGCCAGAAATTCTATAAAAATGAAATAAATTATTTTTGTATTAGATTTTTTTTTAATCTTAATGTTTGCAAAAGCCAAAAAATGGTGTTTATTTTTTAAAAAAAGCTAAATCTATAATGTCTACATTTGGTTTCCCAAATAAGAGTTCATGAATTAAATAGAAGTATCCTTTAAAATTCATAATAGTTTTATTAAAATAAACAAGAAAATAATGTATCAGAAAATAAAAAATGTAAAATTAATATAAAATTTAATTTATTTCCTTTCAAAGTTATGAAAAGAAGCCAGAAATAGAAAACTTAACGCATGTTGGTATGTGACATTAATTATGGTTAACTGAGTACTGAGATTATAAATTCTGGCTAAATAGGTAAAATAGCTCAGTTTTGAACTGCATGTAAAATATATAAACTACGAAGAATAGAACTATCAAAAAAAAATTATTTGTGTCAACCGTTTTTCTGAACTTGCATAAGGAATCCTATCAAACATTAATCTATAAGCCTGCCTAATGTACTGAACTATAAGGAGTCCAGTAGTTTACTGGCAGCTTGCTCCAGGTCCCAGTTAACCCCCTGAACTACAAGGAGTCCAGTAGTTTACTGGCAGCTTGCTCCAGATCCCAATTAACAGCCTGAAAAAAATTACAGAATTTAAGAAAATGAATTTGATTAAAATCTAACGAAACTATAATAATTAATTTAGCATAAAATCTTTGCTCTGCATCATAAAAAAAATTCGGAGAAAATTTATAACTTTTAATTGCAACAATCTAACGATGGGTTACTGGAAGTTTAAGAAAAAAACCTGAAGAACTTTCTCACACTTAGGTTTAGTCGCGACTCCAATTCTAAAAATATCAATTCTATCAATCCATTTATTCGATATTTTCTATTAAACTGTTTAAAAAGGCAATAGAAAAGGTGATTTATCAATTATGAATAATAAATAAACAACAATAAACAACAATAAAGAAAACAATAAACAACAACAAACAACAACAACAAACAACAACAAACAACAATAAACAAAAACAAACCATAAAATAAAAAATAAATAAACAACAATAAACATCAACAAACAACAACAACCAACAATTAACAACAACAACAAACAACAACAACAAACATCAAACAACAGCAATAAGCAACAATAAACAACAACAAACAACAACAAACAACAACAAAAACAAACAACAACAATAAACAACAACAAAAACAAACAACAACAAACAACAACAAACAACAACAAACAAAAACAATAAACAACGATAAACAACAACAAACAACAACAAACAACAACAAAAACAAACAACAACAACAACAAACAACAACAAACAATATAATAAATAATAAATAAACAACAACAAACAACAACAACCAACAACAACCAACAATTAACGACAACAAACAACAAACAACAAACAACAACCAACAACAAACAACTAAACAAAACAACAACAACAACAAACAACAACAACCAACAATTAACAACAACAAAAACAAACAACAAACAACAAACAACAAACAACAAACACCAAACAACAAACAACAAACAACAAACAACAAAACAAAACAACAACAACAAACACAACAACCTACAATAAACAACAACATCAAACAACAACAAACAACAACAATAAACAACAACAACAACAAACAACAACAACAACAAACAACAACAAACAACAACAAAAAACAACAACAACCAAAAACAAACAACAACAAACAATATACAAAAACAATATACAAAAACAACAAACAACAAACAACAAACAACAAACAACAAACAACAAAGAACAAACAACAAACAACAAACAACAAACAACAAACAACAAACAACAAACAACAAACAACAAACAACAAACACAACCACAAACACATCCACAACCACAGCCACAACAAAACAACAACAACAACAACAGAAACAATAATAATAATATTAATAAACAGTCAATCATTATTCCGTAGAAATCTAGGCCGAGCCCTGCTCAAAAATAAACGCCAAAGGACGGAAATTAATTTTCAGTAGATAGTTGTCACAATCAATCAATTGAAGATAAATACTTAAAAATTCAATAATTATTGAGTTCTAATTACCTGTAGAGTTTATCTATTTTCAAATTCTTAACAGCTATGCTCTAAAATAAAATTGATCAAAAATATAAATATTTATTAAAACTATTTATGATGATATAAAAACGTGGACGAAAACCATTCTGAGTTCCAAGTATTTTTATGTTTATATTTGATATGGTAAAATTATTAGATTTACTATTTCAGTTATCGTTTATCAATTCTTATATCATATCAACTTATCAATTCATATTTATTTGTTTATTTATTTACTATTACAGTATTAATTCATTTAATGATCAATTATTTTCTTCATTTTTTATTGGAATTATTTAGAAATATTTCTTCAGTATTAGTCAAGCTAGGGAATTAGACAAGAAACCAATAAATGGAATAACAATATGAACACTATCTTACCGTATCCCAGTTGACTGCAGTTAGAGCTGATCTAATCTCACTTCCTGACATTCCTGGAACCATCTTGGAGCACTGAGCAATCTTATTGATCTCCATCGCGTTGCTGATCCCCCCACTGGTTCCGTAAGTATCCCGGGTACCGTAGATATCCCTCGCTCCAGAAGTTTCGCTGGAGTGATTACTTCCAAAGGATTCGTTTAGCCTGGCTCCGTCTTGAGTATAGGACTGGGGTTGTGTTCTATTTGATGTTTTATTAAACTGTTGAAGCTGAGTCCGTTGACCGGCCAGCAGGTCAACCCGTCCTGTTGTGTTTAAAGGTCTCCAGTTAGCACTAGCACCACGAACATTTCCCATTCCTTCGGAGCCAGTGTGATGATCGGTTTGTAAGAAAGGACGAACATGAGCTGTGTTCTTCTCCGGAGATCTAGTTGAATCTGAACTGTCTCCGGAACGGTTGTGACGGCTCATTGCACTGGAGGAGCGAGGATGAGGAGAGGTTCGGGGCAAAGGTGATATTCTTGAAGGACGGACTGATGGCGGAGGAGGGTGAAGGACTGGTATATTTGCAACTTTGAGACTGGGAGTAGGAGGAGGATTAGGCCCTAGCAGGTTTGCATTTTCTGAAAAAATTGAATGAATATAAAAAATACAATTTAAAGATGAAACAAAGATAAAAAATACTTACTTTCATTTTTCCCAAGATTTTTCTCCAGATCTTTAATAAAATTTTTATCCACCGAGTAGGTTTCTTTAGGAGCACCAGTAGTAGAGAGGGTGGAGAACTGGGGGAAATGAAAAACCTCTCCACCTGATGCTTCTAGTCGACTCTGCATATCCAACTCTCGTTGCCTTTGATCAAGTTCGTCCCGTCTTCGCTTTTCATCCTCGGACTTTTTCCTTTCTTTTTCCAGTCTGTGTTGTTGGATCTTTTCAAGATTTTTTCTCTCCATTTCTTTCTCTCGCTCAAGTAGTTGGTTTTGCTGAAATATCTGATTTTGTAGATTGAGTTGTTGTTGATACAGATTTCTCTGATGTTGAATCTCTTGTTCTTGTTGAATTCGCTGCTGTTGAAGTAGCTGTTGTCTCTGTCTCTCTTGTTGTTGTTGCTGTTGTAACTCTTGTTGCAACTGTTGTTGATGTAACTTCTGTTGTTGTATTTGTTGGTTCCTCTGTATCTGTTCACTCTGGTAGCTGATGCTCTGTGATTGTTGTTGATCACTAAAGCTGGAATATATCTCAGACTTATTTGAAGTTTTGTCATTCCAACCTTGATTCTCATTTCCTATAGACTTCTGTGGTTCTGGTTCAGTTTGAAAATTCTGGATCCATGCATCTGAGTTGGATAATTTAAAAATCTTGTTTCCGGAATCACGATCAGAACCTGAACCCTGATTAGAAGTTGCACCCTGATAGGAACTTGAAACCTGATTATTGTTTGTGCCCTGATTAAAGATGGCTCCCTTGTTAGATTTGGTGCTTTGAGAAGAACTGTTATCCTGAACAGAATTGTAAACTGAATCTACTTGTGACTGGTAATGTTGATGAGTTTGGTTGGTTTCTTCCTTTGAGTATTTATCCACCTTTTCCTTTTCAATACTCGGCCTTTTCTTTATAGTTGCATACAAGTCCTCAGGTGTAGGTTGTACCTCGGATACGGACGGAAACTGGAATACATTTCTATCCGTCTTCTGGGAAATCTTCATATCTCCGATTTTATCGTTTAACCAAGAAAATGCTTCTGAGGAGTTGAGTTGGGTTTGTCTCTTGGGTTTATCGTTACTCTGGTAGGGGGCAGGAGAATCCAACCCGGCAATCGCTTCATTAGAGCCTAAAACTATATCATATGGATTAAATGCTGGTGGGGAGAAAGGTGAGGTTAAAGGAGGTAGGAATAGGTCAGCCTCCGCTATGGTTGAAACTGCCCTTCGATGTCGGTTTCTATCGTCATGTAATGAATTAAATGTCTCTGAATATCTACTAGGTTCAGGGGTAGAAGACAGCTGTAGAGTCGGAGTAATTGTTACAACATCAGGGGTTTCTACAGCTTTAGAGGTTGAGGCTAAAAGTTGAGAAATAATGGAAGGCTTGGTTTCATATTCATCTGCAGATCCGGATACAGAAAGGTCTGGATAACCCTGGTTTGAATCATATCGATTAGTTTTGTACTCTGCGTTGGTATATGATAACCCTGTGTTTGTCCTGGACTGATCCTTATAATCTGAAAGTCTGGAGGTACTGTTTAGAATAACACTGCTAGTATCGAAAGGATCATCTTCATCTGGTGGAACGTGGTAGGTTTCTCCTTCAGGAAGGGAACTAAAGGAGGCATTGCTTTCATTTAACCGATCTTGAAACCCGTTCTGAAAATCATAGTTCTGGTTTTGGTAAACATTTCTGTTTGAGTTTGTGGACGGAATATCCTCATCTATGAGACTAGTGACGGATTGAGCTCCGAGATTATTCTCCAGACCTGTGTTGGCGTAAACACGAGACATTGTCTCTGCCGGAGAGAGATCTATCAAAGAATCTTCACGAGTATGAAGGAATGTGTTCTGATCTTCATAAGCCTTCTGCAGATCTGGAAGAGATTTATATGCTTGAACCCTGTCCCCGTTCCAACCCGGAGCGGGACGATGAGGACGAATAGTGTTCTTGGAACTACCGTCCTGCTCTTTTCCTCGTCCTTCGTCCTCTAATCGTCCATAATTAAATTGATGAGTTTGTTTAATACTTTCCGGAACAATAGGGTTGTTTTTCATTTTCATCGAACTTCGTCCCGGAAGTTTTCTCTCGTCCTGATTTCCGTTTCCGATACCTGTCAGATCCGGCGGTTGCATTGGACTCCGGAGATAAAGATCATCGATTGCCTCGGCTTTACCCCAGGACCTGCCGTTGTGAGACCCGTGGCCGGTGTGGATAAAACTATTCTTCAACGGTTTACTGATATCTTTTATCTTCTTTCCTTGAGAATCTTCAACAATCTTTCTTGGAAACAATCCAACTTCAAAAGTTCTTTGATTTTGTCCTTTCCACCAGAAATTTTCTGATCTTCCGTCAATCACAACTAAGGCATCTCCGGGTTCTATCCTCATCCTTCCCTCCTCTTCGAGACCTTCTCTAGCTCTCACAACGATGGGAATAGTTTCCGCCAGAAAGTCCTTTAAAGCCTCAAAAGTTGGTCGATCAGTCGGCATCTTGGCCCAACATTGTAGCATCAGCTGGTAAATATCTCCAGGACACTAAAATAAAAATATAATAACAACTACGTGGAATAAAAAAAGGTTTTCATCTCCAATTAAACTCACCGCTGGGGGTTGATGCAACCGCTCTCCGTCTCTGTCTATTTTCTTCAAAATCTGAGATCCGTTTAAACCGATCCAAGGCTCCTCTCCGAATGTAAACATCTCCCAGAGTGTAACACCAAACATCCAAGTATCAGACGCATGACTAAACTGACGGGTTTTCAAGCTCTCCGGAGCACACCAGGGGAACGGAACCTTCTTACGCTCCGTCATCACGTAACAGTCGTCCTCCTGGGGAAGAGCTCGCATAAGACCAAAATCTCCGATCTTGACTCGATCTATCGAGGCGAGAAGAACGTTTCTGCAAGCCAGGTCTCGGTGAATAAATCTCTTAAGCTCAAGATATGCCATTCCACGGGCTGGAGCAAAAATACACTAATAAAAAAGTTATAAAATAACGAAAAATGTAACATTTAAAAATAATAAACAAAAAAATTATTGTTAGATAATGATGTTTTTGCACGTTCCTATTTGAATTGCATACTCCCAGACTGCTGAGATCGGAATATTTCCGCACTGTTTATGCATCCAGTCTATCAGGGAACCTAGAGGAGCTAACTCAACTATCATCATCATTGGTTGACTCAGGACGATTCCGTACAAACGAATCAGGTTCTCATGGTCCAAAGCGTGCATAGCAGTGCACTCCTTAAACAGAATGAAAATATTAGATGATATCGATAATAATTTTGATTAGACAAAAATGTCTGACAGCAAGGTTTGATTAAAAAGAAAAATCATGTCTGAAATTGGTAAATTCATGTTTAATATACTACTTCTATTTTCAACATGAAATATGTAATGAACCTAGAGGGTAGGACTGGGGAAATTTATTTATTGCAATTTTGGAACAAATTATTATGGAGTGAGTGGTAGAGAAATTTTAAATAAAGGAAGGGTTGGGGGAAGTTTTGCATTGCAAATATATGATCATATTCAAAAATTTCAATGAGATAATCTGAAATTATTCTGGATTAAAATATACCTTGACAAAATCCTCGAAAGCTCCAGGTTGTGCCAGAGTATCCTGTTTCAAGATTTTCGCTGCAACAGGCAGAATCCGTCCAGAAGGAGTGCTCTAGAATTCAATAAAAAAAATATATATTAACAAAATAAAATATAATATAATTTAGTGAAAAGACTTTTAAAGTATTTTCACTCAATGATATTTTATTTTATTTTATTTTCACAAAAAATTGCTAAAAAGAAAAGATTTTTTACAAATTTCGAAAATCCTAAGTTCTTGAAAATATCTAAACACTAACCCATTCTCCACGACAAACAATCCCGAAAGATCCATCTCCAAGTTTGCCTAATAATCTCCCATTCTCGTCTCTAGTTTTAATTTCTTTATCCTAGGAACAAAAAAAATTGTAAATATTTTTTTAATTTTAAATTGCAAGATTGAGTCTATAGCGAAAATAAACAATAGATGTTAAAATTACAAGTTAACAAAATGAAAAATCTGGATAGTCTGTTTAATATATGTACATGTAATGGAATAAATATTAAAATGAAAAAAAAAACATTAATAGAAATTGCGAATAGATTTTGTAACAAACACAAGATTTTAAACAAATAAATAAAAATGTTTCACACATATGTTTATTATAGTTAGATAATAGAAAATTATTGTAATAACGTCTGATAGTTTCACAATATCAGCTAGATATGAAACATATTGAATCATTGAATAATAAAAACCTTTAACCTGTATTAGGCATGTTAGAGCAGAGTCGGAGAGAACTGAACCTCCGATAGACGGAGATTTTTTAATAGTTCCAAACCTTCCTCCGGGTAGAAACTTGGTCAATTTACTCTTCAACCTCTTTCTTTTTATTATATCCAGGAGTCTTTTAGCGGCAGGTTTAGACATACCAATCTTCTCCAGGTCCTCAGGTTGAACGTATTCAAAGTGTTGGAGCCGGGACACCTGGAGCTCATCTCGGATACGGACAAAGAATTGCTCCAGCTGAACCTGGTGGAGCAGCTCCACTAACCATTCAATACCCTCCTCCTCCATTCAGAACATACTTCTAAAATTATTCAAAAATAACATAAATCAAATATATTCAAGTTAGAACCCAATAATACGTATCTGCTTTGAACCGCAAAGGTGGAACAACGAAGCGATCAAAGTTGCATTAATTGTGATTTTCATGCTTTAATATGAATTAAAACACGTTTTTCAAGAGATAGTTACAACTTTTTCTACGATATTGGGTAATTTCCTAGAGAACGATTTTTGGACCCCCCCCCCCTCCTATCACTTTTGTACATTGGTCTGACAGAAAGTGTCTTAATCTAACCTAACACGTGGCCGCAGCGCTCGGCCCCCTAGCCTGTCCTAGCCACAGCGCTCGGCCCAGAAAGTGTCTTAACTAACCTAACCCTAAATAACAAAAAAAATAAATAATAATAAATTTGCTGAAAAATAAATGGTCATGTACAAAATTGATATGAGGGGGGGAGGGGGTCCAAAAATCGTTCACTAGGACAGACCCCGATATTGTAAACAGACAAGCTAACAGCTGAAAAGTTTTTAAAGAGTAACAAAAGAAAACAAATTTTATTTTTCGCTCTTTAAGAGTGAATATTCTCACCTTTTACGCTTTTGTGATCAGATTTTGAATTATGAAATCGTCTTTGGTTGAGACAAAAACATGCGCAGAGGATTCAGTTGACGCAATTCAAGAATCTTGTATCTGTGAGGCTGCGGCAGGTTAACACTAACTCTACGATCCGAGATAGTGAAATGTAACATGGTTGATTATTACGGGTCTGTTTCTCATACCTCGGGACCAAGCTTCTGCTATGCAATCCCTGCCCCAGAATACCGAGATGAGAGACAGAAGTATATATACCAACCATCGGCGGAAGATTATCCGTTAAACCTGAGCCTGAACCCAGGAAGATCTCCGTTATATTCCCCTCCTCCCGTCCCTCTCCATACTCAGGTTGAAGCTCCTCCTAGTCTCTCAGACGGTCTAGCGGCAGGAGAGCTGGGGAATGTTTTTATTGTGTCTGATCTTGACTGCGCTATAGCTCAGGAGGAGATAGTTGAAGCAGTAGAGGGGGAGAACGTCCTAGAGGATGATGCTTTCACGGACGAGGCTGAATCTGAAGAGGATGAATGCGAGACAGAATTTAATTTCGAATATGCGCGAAACTTAAATCTAAAATCTGAATTCGAAAACCTGTCGGCTGAGGTTGCCAAGATCCGGGAGCTGTTGGACTCAGAGGCTCGAAAGGAGAGAATAGAGGCCATTGTTGTTGTTCCCAAGACAGAGAGAGAGGCTGAAATTGAGATCAAAAGCGAAGGAGAACTTGACTATGTTGAATCCTCGTCCACCATTGGAACTAAACGATCTCGAAACCTGAGCTGGCCTCAGATGTCAACAATAACCTCGAACCAGCGGAAGAAAGAACAGAACAAGATGGCCTCGAAACGATTCCGCGAGAGGAAGAAAATGGAGTTGAACCGGGCCAAGGATGAGATTCTCGAACTTGAATCGAGGAACGTGATGCTCCGGAAGAAAATGTCGACCATGGTTGAAGAGACGGAACATCTAAAGAAAATTTTGCTCCAACTCCGTCTCATCAAAATCACTGATCTCCCGTCTGGGAAGAAATCCATCGTTAAGATAGAAACCTGAAGTACAAGCATGAAATGGTCTGACGATCTTCTTTCTCATCTTCTCTGTATATAAATTTAATCAATCCAATCCAATGCAATAATTATAAGATCATGCCTTTAAACTTTACAAACTGTATAAATAAAATATTTACAATTAATGAAGAAACAACCATTGGAATTCATGTAAATTGTAAATAAGATATTTACAGATTATGTAAATACAATATCTACCCCAATAGTTACGCGTAGTCTACCTCGTCTACCGCACTAGATCCCTTCGTCTCATTGAGACTGTATCTACTTGATACAACCCTATTCTGGGGACTGTATCATATGGTTCAACCATATCCTGGAGACTGACCTATTTGATCCAACCCTACCCGGGAGACTGTAGCTATGTTCTATATGATCCAATCCTCTAAATCCAAATCATAATAAATAGAGTTATTGTCTGAATAAATATGAATTAAATTTTATGTTTTATTTAGTTAGTCTTGAATTTGTACATTTATCTGTGGTTCTTGTTCAATTCCAAATTACATAATGTAGGACTAGGAGTAGGGAGAAGGGAAAAGATTAGAAATAACTTAAGGAAAGGAAAAAATAGAGTTTAAAGGAGGGAAGGAATACAACTACATATCTAGTTTTTCCTAAAAACCAGTTTAAAAAATATCGTTCATTTTTTTATTTAGTTAAAATTAAATCTCAAGTAAAATAAAGGGAAATGATTTTAGTGAATAACCTGGACTGAAAAATTAATCAGTCCAACTTGTTTTCCAATTCCACTTTCTTTAAAATTGCAGACAGTAAAAGTAAAAGTGTACATCATTTATGGATTACTATGCACAAACATTTAAATCCTAAACAACTATGTCTTGAGATGTCAAGTTTGGGGAAGGAAATAAAAAGAAATTAAGTGGAGGGTGAGATTTAGAATAAATCTGAATTATTATCAACACTTTTGCTTGGTGGAGTGTAAAAGAGAAATTACCATGGATTAACTATCTTAATGATACAGGGTGTTCCACGAAACATGACATTTAAGAAATAGTTATTTTTAGTTAAACAAATCTTTTGCCTAATTATACTTTACTTTGAAATCAATTTTAATATCATGACTCCCATATAATATTTTCAGTGATCTTTGGTATAAAACAACTGAACAAATACATGGATAAAGACATTTTAAGCTATTCACCAACTGTCATGTTTCGTGGGACACCCTGTATATACAGAGCGTATCATTTTAGATCATCACCTAGTTTTTTCTCTATGCAAATCTTTCTATTAGCAATGTACATTTTTTTATTGAAAAGTTCTTTTCAGATTTTTTTACTAGTCCCGGAAATCGCAATTTAAAGGCGAAGCTGCAACACGATCCAATATGACAGGGTTGTCCACAGAGGAGACTTCAGAGACGACTGTTCATAATCTAGCCAGTCATTGTTCTTACATTTACATACCTATAACTGTTCTTTTGATTCTCAATAATTTAACATACAGGGTTACCCTAAAGGATGAGACTTCAGAAACGACTTTAACAGAATTTCTTCAATTCTTTTTATTGAATTTATGCATGTAAACTGGTTTCTTTCATTGTATAATCATCTTGTTTATTTTTTAAAGACTTCATTTATGGCAAAATCCCAAGTTTAATCTTTTAATTGATAAACTTAAAGAACTGTAGGTCCTAATAACAGTCGCATCCTTTGTGGATAACCCTTTGTCATTGATTTTTTAGTTGTGTTACCATAATCACAATGGTTACACTTTGCCATATAACTGTTATTGATAATGACGACTGGGCCCAGTTTTTTAATCGTGCTTCCCTAGTTTGACCCATATATATATGTCGTATCTATCTATCCTCTTTGTGTGATTATTGGTTGTACAGGGTGTCCCACATCATATTATCCGGTTTATAGCTTTAAATTGCGATTTTCGGGACTATTCAGAAAATTTGGAAAGAATGAATCATTTAAAAAATGTGATAAGGCTTATGTAAAAATTTGCATGGAGAAAATATTGGGGTTTTCGAGTATTATGTGCGTATATTGGTGTTTATAAAGCTTGGAGATAATCCAATATGATATGGGACGCGCCATGTACAACTATTTATTCACTTTGTTCAACAAAGTAACTAGATAATGGTATCTTAATAAGCATCGAAAAACATATTCAGATATCATCAACAAAGTCTCATCTTTTGTGTGACTAATTGTATTTTAGGATACACCATCCTAAAATATTGCATTGTAAACCGATCCCTAGAGGAAACCAACTTAACAGGTATCCAAAATGATCTAGATTATTTTCAACTCCCTGCTCGTTATTGCTGATTTATAATGTTTCCCATCATAGTTATAACGTATAAATTGGGTTTAGGGTCGGATATCTGCAATTTTCTTCTATGTACAGAGATGGGAACTTTTGAATGGGATATCCTTAATCCTGATCGGATAATTAATCTGGAGATTAAAAATGAGTGGAGAACAAGCAATATTTAATCTGCAGATTAAGAAAAAAGAGGATTAAGCCTTAATCCCGATATCCACCATTCTAAAGTTTTCAGCTCAGGGTTACCTACAAAGGATGAGTTCAGAGAAGACTGTAATGAATCTTTAAAATCAGTTTCTTTATATTCATAATTCCCTGCCAACGTAAACTTGTTTCTTTGCCAAATCATTAAGATTGGCTATCTCTTTGTCAATTTGATAAATGTGGTCGCAGCGCTTGGCCCTCTCGCTGCTGTCCTAGCCGCGGCGCTCGGCCCAGAAATTGTCTTAACCTAACCTTTCCCACAGATCGGCTATCACAGTGCCAATTTGATATGTGGCAGCAGCGCTCGGCCCAGACTACCAAACCTAACATCCGACCTATACAAAGTGTGCATCTGTCCTACAAAATGTGTAGATCCAACCTACAAAAAGCGTGCATCCGACCTAAAGAAGTATGTGCATGTGACCTACAAATTTGTGTGCAACGGAAACAGCGAGATCCTTATGGTATTGGTAGCACCACAGCTGTCGTAAGTCCGAAGTATCGGAAGACGGAAGTACTGTAGTCACTGTAGGATGGAAATGCTGTATGACTGAAGTAACCCTATTTTGTGTTTCAAGCCCGATTACAATATCATTTGAGAACTCGCAAATTCCTGCAGCAAAAACAAAATAGGAACTTTGTTGTACAAAAAAGTGTAGACGGGTACTGTTGTAAATCGGCATGCAACTCTTTAATTAAGATTAATTAAAATTACGTAAATAGTCACTGGAAATTGTTCCAAATAAAAATTTTCTTGTCAATACTTTCTCGTTGGTCAACTTTATGAAAATATAGAAGCTGTTACTTGGTCAAATTCTTGGAAGAAAAAATCAGACCTTAAGTTATACCGATTAAAGATGCGACAATTTTTAAATATATATTTTTCATGCAGTTAAAGTTTTTGAAATTGGTATTTTGAATATTTGCGATTTGTCAGAACAAAATTTCATTATGAATCGGTTTAATTAATAAAAATAAATTGGTTTTTGTCTAAACATACACAACAGTGATGCATAATTACTAAATAATCACATATCAAATATATAGAATATATCATTCAGACGAATCTGACAGATTAATAGCTATTTTTAAACCAAACTTCCGGATACAAAAATATTAAATATATATATCACCGGAAAAAATTAACAATTGAAAATATACATACGAAATAAGGATCCCTTAATTAAAAATAAAAATACCGAGTATATTATATATATTTTATTATATCTTGTAAATTAGTTGTTTGTGCACATTTTACCCTCTGGGGATCTTAAAGCAATGGCATTGATATTTTGGAGAAGGTTCTATTTCTACACTTCCAGGCTCAGATTTATAAATTTGTGTTTATATTCATTCCAGTTCATTCAGTTTCCTTCAAACAAGATTCTAAACTAGGTTCAGGGTTAGGTTTACTCAGATATCAGGGTTAGGTTGTATCCAACACAGTTCAGAGTTTTGTAAAAAAAGATAAACAGGTTTGGATTTCTCAGATACCAGGTTCAGTTGGGTTGTGAAGTTTATTTTACTTAGATACCAGGTTAAGGGTTTTGTTTGTATCCGGTATTGGTTAACTTTAGCCTCGTGTAAAAATCCAGATTTAATTTACTCCGATTAAGGATTATTATTCTCTGATATATGGTTCCAGGTTTCATTTACTCCGATGTAGGTTCACTTTACTGATACCAGATACTCACTGGCTCACTGGTAGTAGGATATCTATAACAATGGTTAAATTGTCTCAACTATTCAAATATTTTTACTCCTACTTCTCATGGTGAACGTTAAAACTGGGGTTTCTCCAGAAGGCTGTTTGGTATTGGAGAGTGAAACCTCAGACAGACATAATCTGGACAAAAAAAGTCAGGCCATATGTGTATTGTTGGGTGTTGTTAGGTTCATAGAAGGTTTACTGCTACAGCTCAGAAAATATTTTTTATTTTCTTCTTCAAATACTTTAATCCATGGTTTTGATGAACTCTGTAGCTGCAATAAACTGAATCCACCAATACTGATCTTCACCAGAAAGCCGAGATCCGTAGAAATTATCGACAAATTGAACTGAAAAAAAACACGTATATATTTATACATAGATTTTAATTCAGTTAATATTTTACGTCAAATTAGGATCTTTAAAGTTTACCTGTTGAAAGTAAACCTGGGGGGTTCGCTTGAATTATCACATAAACCAGAACTGGAAGAAAATCGTCGGCGGCCGGGACTGATCTATCGGCAGCCAAAGAGAGTAAGTTCATGATGGTGCTTGCAACCCTTGAGACACAGTTTACTTTGTCGCTAGGAAGCTTGAATGCAGGCAAACGTTTCAACTCAGCCTGAAATTTAATACTGATATGACGGTGCTATAAAAAATATTCCTATTCTTAAAATTCATATATTTAATTTCTATCAGATTCTTTCATGGTTATAAATTACCTAAAAATAATTAAGAAATCGCTGGTTTGCAAAAGAATACTTATGTTCTTATAAAGTCTTAGTTTCCATCAATGGTTATCGTTTTTATCAGTAAAATTTGAAAAATCAAATTTGTTGAAGGCAAACTCTTTAAATCCTGACCATTCATTAATCTTCCCTTGGGTCATGTGAGGTGTCACATGACCCGATCGGTTCAGCCGTTTTAACGTTTATTAGATACAAACCAACAAACAACTTTGTTATTTTTGTACTTTTTGATCAATAAAAAGATTTGAATAATAACAAACAACCGAAGTATATGTATATATAAAGCATCAAGCGACATGTAGATTGTAGACTGTATGTTGAAATTTTCTTTTAGTTAATTTTTTTAAAATCTCTAATAACGCTGATGGGAAGAAGAATAATTGAACATTCACAATACATATTATAAATATTTATTGTTTAATTAGATAAATATCTATTTCAGTATTTAATAGAGCAGCAAATATTTCTAGTTTAATGTCGCCGGAAAATCATGTTATGATCTGAACATTTAAAAAATGATGATACTTGTTGATTTGTGTTTTCAATCTTCGTTTATTTTTATTTATTTTGGACGTGAAGTCTTTCCTACTCATAGTTATATTTCTAGACGTGTCATATCTTAGAATTGCTAATTTTGAAACTATCCTAATAAAGAGTAAATTGAAAGAAGCATTTTGTACATATTTTTACAAATTTGTACATATTTTTGATTGTATTTTTTACTCAATAAAAATTGAAATAAAACAAAAACTTGTTGATTTATTTACGGAAATTTCAATTTTAAACCCTCATTTAACTTATTCCTTTCGTTTCTTCCCCCCCCCCCCCCC